TCTAGAACTTTGATTGTTGAAATAGACAATGTCACGTGGTATCCTATCCATAGAGGGACCGTATCAAAGACATAGATAACTACTAACCCGAATAATTCAGTCCCTCCCCGTGATCGACTCTCCCACTCGCGATTATTTGACGATTTTTCATTGACTAGACCTTCAGGCGTTAATGTAGCCATCGTAGAGCAGCGGAATATAACGACAGAATTATTCGGGTTAGATAACTACCTGTATAAATGATCGAAAATTTTCGAGACGTTCCGAGAATCTTGATTCCGAGGATATCGAATGGCCCATAGACACTTCCAAAACTCACCAATATATGCAAAAAAAAATGGAAAAAAAATCGTATACATACAAAATCTAAAGATCTTTCAGGGCACCAATTTTCGGAGTGTTCCACATATTCCTTAGCATTTTACAATTTTCCAAAAATATACCTATTTTTCACATCTAAGTTTCGAGTACAACAGTCTGCTCTTGTCACATGTACTTTCAATATATAAGTATTGTCTCAGTTTCGTGAAAATGTAAAAAATAAATAGTTGTGCAGGTTCAAAAATTAAAGATAGATAATTTCACAAATGTTGGTTATCCGTCAGAATATTCTTTTTGTTCTGTTTCAAAAAGGTCGTCCCGATTTCTGTACACGTATTTGCGGTCGACTCCATCTATTCGCATTCGATTTTAACATCGGGGTAAGGTCCGTTTGAATTGACCTAGTAACTTAATTTCAAAAGTGTTTATCTTTGCTGCATATCAATCGATTCCTTTGAACCCCCCCTTGAACTTTTCTGATCTAGGTTCATACATATACGGATATTTCACATGTTCCAGAGAGGAATACAACCAGTAGAAAAAATACTTGAGTTGGTACACCAGGAATTTATTCGCATCGCAACATATTAGACCAAATTTACACAAAGCTCCTTTAGCCTACTGTCCTCGTTCTTGTTTCTATTCATTTCTTATGAATTTATAATTAATAGCGTCCTTGCTAAAACGGAACAAACAACGAAAAGATAAAGTTTTATGTGTTAACAGGGGAGGTGACATTTTAACACTAGATTTCCCACTGAAAATAGAGAGGGGAAACATTAGAAAGGTGGCCAAGTACAGCCAGGCGATTTTTTATAACGTTTTTTTTAAGCAAAAAAAAACTTTTTTTTTTCGTTTTGAGAGTGGTACGCCCGCTTCACCTCCGTGCACCCCTTGTATCCGCTCCTGCACGCTTTATATGTATATGTATATGTATGTCAAATTGTTAAACGCAGAGACATTTAAAACTCAGTCGAAAGAATCACAGTCGTTTATAATTCAATTATGACAACACTCAATAAAGTGTTTTTAAAAGCCTACCCTCAATATATTGTGATTCTGAAACCCTAAAATTCGAGGGAAAATGTCCTTGTGCTATTTACATAATGAAAAGTATTATTGTCTTTAAAATTAAACTTTACAAACTTTTCGGCTCAAACACGTATCTGCTGCTGCTTTATAACATAACGATCAAATTGTGTTTCCGAACATCTAAGACCCAAAGTTGATAAAAATTACTAAAAGAGGTTACTTGGTTTTAGTATCTATATTTATCCATTTATACCCATATTAGGGATTGGTCATTTTCTTTTATTGTAAAGGGGAGGGAGGATGGGAGGAAACATCTGAATTTCTCTTATTTTTTTCAAGTTCCCACCTTGAAAGAAAATAAATTTAAGACCTCCCCTTCCAAAGACACGAAAATCCCCCCCCCCCTTTTCCCCTCCAAAAAAAAAAAGAAAGAAAGACACGTTTTAACACTTTTATTCTCTACAACATAAAGCACATGCATACAGCTTCTATTTCTATTATTATTATTCAATAAAATAGTGCATCATCAGTATTGGAAATAAAGCTTCTAGTGGGGAAGTTGTTTGTGACTTGGAAAATTTATTTAGATATGCCTGTTATGGAACACACCGGAAAACCGGTAGTGAAGTCAGATGCCCTGGAAGGAGAAGTAAATGACTTAATATAATTTTTGGGTAGATATTATCGACAATTTAAGTTTAACTGAAGCTCTCGTCTGTAGTTAATTTTTAAGCGAGCCATATGGATTACAATTCGGCGGCGTCGGCGACGACGTAAACTATTAATATAAAGCTTTTTACATTTTGTATTTCAGAAGGTTTCATACCCTGTATGCATGCAGATACCTTATGTTATGAAGTTTCCGTCTGTCTAATGTTCATTTCCTTGACCTCTTTTTAACGGTTCGGTGACTGCTTGAAAAAAAAGTATATATTTTGTCATGTGAAATACACACTAATAATGAGTAATGAGATAACTATGAGTTCCTTGCATAATAATGGAAGGATTTTAAGGTGTATATGTCTGTCAGGCATGGTTCATCTGACAAACATCCAAGAGTGTTTGTGTGTGCTCATTCGTTCCACTTCATATGCTATTGTCTTCACATTGGACTTTAGTTCAACCTTTAAACCAAAAAAAATTAAGGATAACATCGTCGCCTCCAACCCACAGGCGCTTTTGGGCATGAAACCCCATTTTAAGCCCACCTAGCTCCAACGGTCAAAGTGCCTGTGTTAGCTTTTGCAATCACTTGGCGTCCGTCGCCGGTCATCCGTCGTCTATCATCCGGCGTCCGTTAACTTCAACAAAAATCTTCTCCTCTAAAACTTCTGGGCTTATGAAACCACACTCAGCCTAAATATTCATTATGGTAAGTAAGTTTTAAAATCCGTCTGATAATCCCGCCTGTCAACCAACATGGCTGCCAAAGCTAAAAAAAAAAAACAAATCGTAAGGGGTTCCGTGGATCCCTGTGTTTCGTCTGCGATTGCTGCTGTCAGTATAAAAATGTAATGTTGACTTTAAAAGTGAGTCCATTTATCAGTAAAATACTGATTTTAAAAAAAAATCAACTTTTTTCTTTAGATGCTATTTCATGGTCTTGAAGATTAGCTTTTGTCCAAGTTTCATAACAATGATGAAGGTTTACAAATTTATCATGTCGAAAAAGTTTAATCCCATACTGTCTGTAAATGATAACTGTAAAAAAAAACTAAGTCCATCTATCAGAAAAATACGGAAAGTGGAAAAAATATATATTTTCAAAAGTTTGCTTCAGACATTATTTTTTAATCATAAAAAAAAAGCTTCTGCCAAAGTTTGATAAAATTCTATGAAGGTTTGACAAAGTAATCTATGTGTAATAAACTTTAACCCCAGACTGTATCTACTTGTTAAATGTAACAAAAACTAAGTCCATTTACCACTTAAAGACAGACAAATGAAAATTAATATTTTCAAAATTTTGCTCTGAATACTGTATTTTGGTCATAACTAAGTTTCTGTCCAAATTTCATCAAATTCCATGAGGTTTGACAAAGTTATTGATGACTGAAAAACTTTACCTCAGACTGTATCTACTTGTTAACATTAAAAAAAACTAAGTCCATTTATATATATCAGTAAAATACGGAAAAATGAAAATAAATATTTTCAAATTTTGCTCTCGATACTGTATTTTGGTCATTAACAAGCTTCTGTCCAACTTTCTTAAATTCCATGAAAGTTTGGTAAAGTTATTGGTGCCTGAAAAACTTGAACCATGCACAGACTGAAATTAAATGTTGACGCCGCCGACGCCGACGACGGAATCGAGGATCGCAATGTCTCGCTTTCGCGACTTAAATGTCGCAGGCTCGACAAATATAGAACATATTATTATATAGAAATAAGAAGATGTTGTATGAATGCCTTCAACACGGAGCCTTGGCTCACACCGAACGGCAAGCTATAAAGGGCCCCACAAATGACTAGTGTAAAACTATTCAAACAGGAAAACCAACGATCTAATCTATATAAAAAACGAGAAACGAGAAACACTTATGAACCACATCAACAAACGACAACCACTGAACATCAGGTTCCTGACTTAGGAAAGGTGCAAAGATTACATGTTAAATTCAGTGACCGTCAGTGTGTAAATAGAGATTTATTAATTGTAAAAAAAAAGACCAATAAATCGTGATGGTAGATTTATAAAATTGTTAAAGAATTTGAGCCGTCAGTCGTTTCTGCATCCAATTTGAGTTATACTACAGTACTGCAACTATATATACATGAAAGAAGTGTGAGCAAAACTTTGATGATACATTTAAAAGAATGTTGATTTCAAGCTGGGACTATTATAATAGTCTCTGTTTCAAGTCACAACTAGACAAAGCGATGCCCCCGCAATCCACTCTGAATTAACTGTATTATAACAAAGTCAATGTCTGGGAGACACAAATGATGCCCCCGCAGATGCAAAGTGTTTTTTTTTTTAATACAAAAAGTTGAGCATGGGAATACATAGGGGTATGGTTCACCCTAGGAGGAGTTATCCGGAAACGCTATGTATCTCTCAAAGTTCAACTATCTCCCAAAAGAGCAAATACTAATAAAAATCAAAATCCTGACCACATGCACACCTTCAATCATTATATACAAACGGCCAGCAAAGTGAAAACTTCTTAGCATTCAAACTGTAGGAGGAGTTATCCGGAAACGCTATGCACCTCTAAATACTCCAAAAAATGACAAAGTTCAACTATCTCCCAAAAGAGCAAATATTAATAAAAATCAAAACCCTAACCACATGCACACCTTCAATATATGTACAAACAGCCAGCAAAGTGAAAACTTCCTAGCATTCAAACTGTAGGTGGAGTTATCTGGAATAACTATATACCCATAACGGGACGGACGGACGGACGGACAGGGGTAAAACAATATGCCCCCAACTTTCAGTTGCGGGGGCATAAAAAAGCAAAGGCGTTTTGGAATGAACCCCCCTTTTTAATTTCATTTAATGTTTAACTATTTTTAGTTAATGTTCTTTGATAGTTTAACTTATGTTCACTTATTCAATTTGTTATTGCTCTTTTTCATACAATATTACAATAACAGACACGCGGGTAAAGGGAAGTAACGCCAGTTTGACTCTTCGATTAGGAGGTGTAAAACTTGAAACGATAAACACAATCCTTTTTCCATTCAGTTTCAGCAAGAACAAGGTATTTTCCCCCGAGAAAACATAACATGAATGAAATAACAGACAGTTTGTGTCTTTGAGTATGATATATGCAAATGATTGCTACAACTGCTTCATTCATCAAAGTACATCGGGTGTGGTCGCACAACAATCAACATGCACAAATAATTTACATTTCCTACATATTTTCCATAGGATCTAACAATTGTTTTCATTTACAGGTTGGGAAAAAACCATCATTTGACTCAAATTAAGGATAACCTATCAAATGAGGGACTAACACTGTAATGAGGTTTAAATTTTGAGCATTTAAGAAATAGTACTATGAATTTTGACTTACTACATGTACCAATAGGAAGCTGCGACCAAAGAACGTGTGTTAGTTATAAATCCTTGCTGGGACTTATACATTGAATCTTTTAGTCTCAGAAGGAAGTCAACATACATAAATTCCCCAAATCTGTAAATTTCTTTCATCTGTCAGACAAGTCTTCATTTCGTAAACAAAACGTTATAGACAATAAACGTATTTACACTTTTGGTATTTAGCTATATTTTGCCTCTGAATGACCTTAGATCTACTCCGAATCACCTTTTGACGTCAGACAACAATCACTTTTTAATTGTGACGTCAAATGTTTTGAATTATGATGTCAAAGTTTACGGGAACCTGTGTGATTTTACGTAATGGCGGACAAATTTGCATACAAGTGTAAATACGTCTATAGACAATATTTATCAGCACAAACACATTGGTTATGACATACAGTATAGTACAATTGAAATAATAAACTGACAATAATTAAATAAGAGTGACAGTGGTATTCACATGAAAAAGAAGACTACAAATATGTGTGTACAATGTATTGACAGATAAACAAGTATTAACTAAAAAAATTAAAAAATAAAAATTATGCAGATTTTCTCAATAAAAGACAATCATTGATATATTTTGTTTTTGATTTTTATAATGACTGGCAAACTGTTATTCAAAAGTGTGGTCATATGCCTCAGTGTTATAGCTGATTGCAATTTAATAAAATTGAAATTAAGATTAGTATTAATTTTTTGTATATAGGTATCCCTCAATTGTATATAGCATGGACAGACTGAGAAGAAATATTCATCTTCAATTTCTTGCATATTACAAGATAGGCAAATGCGTTGTTTTCTTTCAATATTAGTATAACGCCCCCCTTTCAATTGCTAGGGAATGGGCACTGAGTTTAAATTTACTGAAAACTGATCTGTTATATGAACAGACTTACCCAAAAAATGAAACGACCAGCCGGCATCGTAGTGCATTTGTAGATAGGATCTCTTTTACTGAGAATATTTCCCATAATGAATAAATTACTTGCATCAGTATTCTCCCCACTAAACTCATATAGCATCATGGTATACAAGGAATTTTAATACATGTACCGTCTTGTTTCAAGAAATTACAGCAACATATCCATTTGTAATTCATGTAGATGGCAGCACACCAAGCAATATAACACCACATGACCCTGATGCTAAATGTTCCTAGGGAGAACACTGTTAACTATATTGAAGAAAAAAAATACATGGTCTTAACCAATATTTTTATGAAGATTTTGAAAGATATTGTTTAGACATAAATGGATATAAGATTGTGAATAGGATCCAAAATCAAAAACAAGAGGAGCGAACACCTTAAAACTAAAACGTTAAAAATAAGGCTCAGCATATTAGTCAAGTTTTAAGCTGGTTCGTATTCATATCACAATAATATTGTCTTGAATATACATGAAACTTTTGCTTCTTTACATTAAGATCACTGAGATGAAGTAAAATGATCCATTTTATCCATCCATCCAACCATCATTTAACCTGTGTAAACAATCTAACTTTATTTTACAGGAAAATGACATGAGAAGTCACTAAATGAGAAATGACTATGGGGGAAAACAACAAAGCTATGTATGGGAAGATGATCTTGGATGTGGTCATTGGTCCTTTATTAGAAAGTGTAAGTATTCAATAAATTCTCACAGTTTGGGAAAGCTTTATGAAATGAATAAGAAAGTCAGTAAACTTAAATAAGATGGCAACCAACATGGCTTACCACAGGGTGACTGAAATGTATAAGTATGCTTTAGAGTAAACAAATTGATTGTTTTGTGGTTTTGTAAATCATAGTCTCTTTTCAAAATTTGTTTTCGCTTGTGAAATATATTGAAATTTTATAGGTATTCTGCTATACTGGTAGATTATGTTTCTAAAAGTGCTATTTTCCATTCATTTATAGTAAAAATAATTATAACACCAAAAAAGTTAATGCATTTTGTAATATTTTGCTTTCCAAAAATGTATCTTTCATTGTGAATAGCTTGCATGACTAGGCACATTTGTATTCACTGATGAAACGGGTTATCATCAGCCAGCTTTGATGTCCAGAAAATGATTATTACAATAAGGCGCATGTATGAATCTATACTATTAAATGAGAAGACCTCATTTTGTGTGTCGCTTCTCTTCCTTCCACAATAAATTAATCATCATGCCTCTGTGTCCTATAAATACCATGCATAGTCGCATTTGTCATCCTCGCTTATGATTATTCAGTTTGGGTTATTTTGGGAGGAAAATGAAAATAAAGGTGTCCAGATATTGTTTCCGTCATCGGACAGACTTTTAAGTCATAGACAAGATTTCCTATAGGGAAAACGGTACTATTTATTCTGTCATAGGCGAAAATACTAACATTTTCTAAATTTACCACTTTTTATAATAAAAACCTGGATAAAGCAGTTATGTGTGGTGTTAGTACTTTATTATTCTGTTTTAAAAATTGAAGCCAAATAGTATCATGACCAACTGCCAACGGAGCTTGTTTATGTTATCCATGCCCACCGTCATTTTACACCAAATTTATGAAATTTTGGAAGTCTTTTCGAATAATTCTCTAGAAAATATTTCAATGGGTTTCAAAATTTATATTGTAAATATACACACTGCAGTTATTTATAGATTAATAAAAAAATATATTGTACCCTTACATCCAATCACAGCGCTCCTAAGTTGACTTCCTTCACCAGCCTTGGGTACACAAAAGGCTAACCTAATGCTAGGAAAATGTAATAGAACCATTTTCCCTATACTGTGACATAAAGATTTCTTATTACACCATTAATGCAATACTGGGTTATTTTGAAAACCTTGGCTATAATAAAAACTTTGGTATGCCCCCATTACTTATAGAAACATGGATCATTTTATGTCCCCAACCCTACATGCTGGTTTACCTCTTTCTGTACTTCTTTCAGATAAGGCTTAATAAACAACCTGTATCCAATCATATCTCATCTTATTTAAAAGAATAACAAACAGTTCCATTTAAACAGATAAAAATGACAGTTCCATTCAATTTGTATTCATTTTATCCAAAATTTACAACATAAGCACAAATTCAAGATTTTTCATACAAATCTCCATTCCATGCTTTAGTATATGCCATATTGTGGTTCAAAATTTCAGAGATTGTTATAAAATCCCTTATTCTGTCTTGAGATGATAAAAACAAAGATATTAGACACTTAAAACATTAAATATGCAAAATACTCAGCTGTAAAGTTGCCTTTGTTGCCCGTATTAATCTATGAATAGGATGAATTATGTCCCTTGGGAGTATTCATTTCCAACAAAAGTCCTTTCAAACAGAAGAAAATGAAAAATTATATATGCTTGATATAATAAAAGATAGAAACTACAAAATGAAGCACTATTGAAATGTTTGCTGCATGAATTGCCAAGAATGTGAACAATTCTATACACAGGAGAGTATAAATTCTATCTAAATTTAGGCCTCAAGTGGGCCTCTTTTTTCTTAGATGGACAATTTTAACACTGAAAATGCTTCTAGTATGACCAAATATTGCCTTACTCCATAAGCAGTACAAACTTAACCAGACAATTTCCCATTTAAATAGATTATGTCTTGAGAAATACCCAAGTTATACATTTAGGGAGTTACACAGCAAAAAAGGCATATATGTCAGTTAAAAATATTTGTCGCGACTTGAATTTTGGTGTTTCCAATTGAATTAATCATTGCAAAAGGTGAAAACAAATACAAAAGAACTTTAGTTTGGTGCATTTAATACAATATAGTTAATATTGAAATCCTAGAATAAAGTTTTATATCAGTACCCATCAATTTGACTTATTATGATGACTCAGCACTTTTCTCAACACAGTATTGGTCTCAGTGAAAAATTTCTATTCTTTGTGATAAAAATCAAATGTACTCATCAAAAGCTTCAATTTAGTATAATCTAACTGAAGTCTGATTGATTTTGATTTCTCTTGCTATCTTCAGTATAGGGAAAACGGTACTATTTATTCTGTCATAGGCGACAATACTAACATTTTCTAAATTTACCACTTTTTATAATAAAAACCTGGATAAAACAGTTATGTGTGGTGTTAGTACTTTATTATTCTGTTTTAAAAATTGAAGCCAAATAGTATCATGATCAACTGCCAACGGAGCTTGTTTATGTTATCCATGCCCGCCGTCATTTTACACCAAATTTATGAAATTTTGGAAGTCTTTTCGAATAATTCTCTAGAAAATATTTCAATGGGTTTCAAAATTGATATTGTAAATTTACACACTGCAGTTATTTATAGATAAATAAAAAAATATATTGTACCCTTACATCCAATCACAGCGCTCCTAAGTTGACTTCCTTCACCAGCCTTGGGTACACAAAAGGCCAACCTAATGCTGGGAAAATGTAATACATGTAGTACCGTTTTCCCTTTAGGTTAGGACTGTTTTAAAATTACACATAATTTTCATAAGTACTTGGGAACAGGACAATTATTTTCGCGTTTTTCTGTATACTATGATCATACATATACTATAGATAAAGTGTATTTGCTATTTACTATCAATTCAAATATAATATATCAGTGACCGCCGTGGATAGTAAACTTGGAATTGATAGTAAATAGCAAGTACACTTTATTTATAGTATATGTATGTTCATAGTATACAGAAAAACAGAAAACAAAAAATAACGGACTTTGGGGAAAAAAGGGGAAGGGCTAAAAAAAATTGTCCTGTCACCAAGTACCTATGACTTTTGATACGTTTCCTGAAATTCTCCAGTCATAAAATCGTTTACAAAAATTCATCCTACAACAGTTTACATACTTTCGACCACGCTCTAAATGCCCGCGATTTCGCGGGTGTGTTCTAGTAAGTTTAATAACAGAACTTTTATTATGTCGAGCTAATAATATTAATTATATTTAGTTTGTTTGAAGATGTATAATGAAAGGTTATTTTGACCTATCACAATTCCAATTGTTTGGTGACAGGTAAAAAAAATAATTTTAATTTTGCTTTCCATATAATTTAATTCTGTTTGTATCTTGGAACATCTAATTTGCTTTATTTTGCTTTGTGTATTTTAGTTAGAAAAGAAAGACAAATCATCAGCACAGACATTACGAGCTTCTTTTTCAAAGGTAATTTTATAAATTGAAACTTGTCCACACTGAATTTTGAATTGGTCAAAGATCTGTGTAAAAAAAACTTCATTCAGTAGTTACAAATTCATTCTGTCTAAATTCAACAAAATGTCCAGTTCCTTCGGGACAGATTATATGTCAATAATATGTGAAAATATGTAAATTTTGTCATTATTTTTAGAAAAATCAAATTTTATGCTATCTTTTGACCATAACATTTCAGCTAATACCCTTAATAATTAGAATTCCTTCTAGTTTTAAATTTGCACAATCATATCAGTTATCTTTAGACAAAAATTAACTCAATTTGTAATGCTTCAATTTAAGGCCAGAAATGGCACTTAGCATATCTCCTTATCATTAAATTATATGAAATATGGAATAATATTTAACAAGTGACCAAACATTACATTAATTATCAGTGTTGTTCTGTCAAGAGTTGAATATTTTTTGATATTATAATCCTTGGATTAGTTATTTTTATTTCAATGGCCATGGACTATTAAATGAAAATAAAGAAGAAAATGAAAGGAACTATATATTTTTTCTACACATTCTCAATTGTTTTGATGCAACGTTTTGACAACATCTATTGTTGTATGAGGTCAGAGGAGTGAAATTATCAGATTTATTTCACATGTGAAATTATCGGTTTTTATTTCACTTGGAAATCATGGTAATTTATTGGAACTAAATGATCTAATGATTAATAATTTCATAACAAAAAAATCTCGCACATGATTATAGGTTGACACAACTGTGCCTGGATTTGTCCATGATTTCTTGAGGGGTATCCTGAAGAAAGCAGACATCCAAGACCACTTTGATATATGTGAAACGCTGCTAAGATTAGGTGATGCACAAGGATATGATGGTATGTATGTGACCTGTGAAAAATTTTAAGATAGTAGGATTTCCCCTGTTGGTTTTCCTTACAAAGTTTTTGTGCTGACTTATTTTTGTATGATTCTGAAATTTCATTATCCCACTGTTATTGTTTATTTTTTATACAGTTTACTCAAATTCAATTCAAGGCCATTTCCTTTATTTGGCTGTAGAAATGCTAGTTGGAAGCCATGCAAGTTAAATTCTTCTTCTGTCTTATTGTTCTAAAGATAAGAGTCTCTATGGTTCACTAAACAGATCTTCATGGTTCACTGAACATGGAAATATGATAGAATGAAATCAATACACCAAAGGTTAATACTTGAAACTTAGTACACATAATCATTATGAATTTAACTTTTTAAGTTATATGCCAAATTAAGGTTTTGACCCTCATTTCACAGTTAAATAAACATAAGAATGGGATTGTGTGAAATCAGAACAATCCCAGGTTAAAGTTTGGGTTATGATAGTTAACTATCAAGCGGAGAACACATCAATTTAAAACTAAGTACAAATATTCATTTATATGTTTACATTTTAAATTACATATCAAATTAAGATTTTGACCCAATTTTACTACTCTATAAACATGAAGAGAAAATGTGATTTTATGAAGCCAGTACATCTCTGTGGACATATATTCTTGTGAAAAATAAAGAAACAGGTTTTTTTTGTGTGTGTGTTTTTAATGTCTTTTATATTTAAACAGAAATATCAAACGACGAATTGACAGGTACATTTTAGTGCTTTCTGAGAATTCATTTCAACTTGCACACATATCAGCATCTGCCAAACAATTATATAATCCACTCCAAATGAAAAATGTTTAAATTTTTCATATACTTTTTTAATCCTACTAAAATGTGCCTCACACATGTGCAGGTATGAATAACACTTGAAATAGATATTTATGAATAAAGCAGAGTACTAGGATATCTTACTTATCGATGCAGCTTGTTGTTGAAAAAGGCAAAGAAGACATACTTTATTTGTTCTTTTAAATTTAAGTGAAAATGTATTCACAATAGATAAGAAAGGATATTGGGCATTCATCCATGACACAAAATCAATATGTGCACAGCAAAAATGCAAAGGAACAGTTCTTTTATTGCTGTTCTTTATCTCAAATCACAGTGAGTCCTTCAACACGGAACAAAAACTCTAACCTGTGCAGTAGAGTACAGTAAAACCTGCTATACAGGTCACAAAAGCATAAGGAGACAATTCTAATTACATTTCTAATCTTAATTCAAAGCTCTCTTATAAGGCCAGTTTTCTCTGGTCCAGAGGATGACCTTTATATGTTGATTTAAACAACCATTGTTAATGTTTATGAAAGATATTTAATAGATTATACTATTGAGATATTCTATAGAGATGTGAGGTAGCAACTTAACCTTCATAAAAAAAATTTTTCTGTTACTTCTTCCTTTTAACTTGTTTTTAAACATATCTAATACTTCATGTAGTTGGTTGGTATTGTTTATGCTTAAAGACTCTCCTTAATGTCAAGTTACAGTAAATGGGCTACTTCACAGATTTTGGTAAAATTTTGCATACATCTTTAGCTCATTGACCTAAAACTGAAAATCGAAAAAGTTCATTTATCTCTTTAATTTTCTGAAATATTTCAAAATGGGTGAATATTTATATAGAAAGCACAAAATTAAGTCGAAAAATATTCTTAAATCAAAATCATCAAATCTTGAATTTCAAGTACATAGATTTTTCTTAAAAAACCGTATGTTGTTGGTACATAAATTTCCATTTTCATGATGTAAAATAATAATGGGGTAAACGACTTAATAATGCATTATTTTTATTATGCCCCCGCCGTAGCGGAGGGGGTTAAGTGTTACCCGTCCGTCCTGTCCGTACGTCCCCAAAATTGGTTTCCGTTCTCTAACCAAATGTTATGAAACTTATACACAATGCTTATGACCACAAAACACAGATCAAGTTTGAAATTGGGTGGCGTAACTTTTACTGTTCATGAGTTATGCCCCTTTATAAACATAAAAATTGCTGAATTCTTTGTTTCCGTTCTCTAACTTTAGTTTGCCTCAACCAGATGTTATGAAACTTATACACAATGCTTATTACCACAACACACAGATCAAGTGTGAAATTGGGTGGCGTCACTTTTACTGTTCTTGAGTTATGCATGCCCCTTTATAAAGGAAAAATTGCTAAATCTGTCGATTCCGTTCTCTAACTTTATTTTTCCTCAACCAAATGTAATGAAACTTATGCTTATAATCACAAATTGGGTGGCGTCACTTTTACCGTTCATGAGTTATGCCCCTTTATGAACATAAAAATTGCTGAATTTTTCATTTCCGTTCTCTAACTTTAGTTTGCCTCAACCAAATGTTATGAAACTTATGCTTATAATCACAAAACGGTCTTAACTACATGAATCCTGCATCTGTATGTGGAAGTTGACTCATGCATATTTGCAAGCAGGGGCATCTGTGGCCCATAGACACATTCTCCATTTATTTCGAGTTTCAGTTGTATTTCAACGAGTCAAAGTTGTATGCAAAATTTTACCAAAAGCTGTGACATAGCCTTTTTACTGTTCCTTGACCTTAAATAAATTTTAAACTCAATAAAGACATGATGGATGTGATAGCTTTTTCTCCTTTAAAGTAGGAATGAAACTGTAACTTAATTTCAATAACTTAAACACCAGTTTGCTTAATTCTGTCATATTTTCTGATTTTGTTCTGTTGAAGATAATAAATCTGTCAAATGTATGTTTTGCTTTTGTGCTCAAATGTTATATGCTTTGTTTGTTTATTTATCACACTAGAAAATATCACATGGCCTTGTGGTTGTTATTTGTACTAATCAAATAAAATTGATGGTAAAATGTTACTTCTGATGTATTGAAAATAATTCTATGACTTTTCAGTGAAATAATCTTACTGTTGTGTAGAAGCTGTTACAGATACATTACATGTATTAGAAAAGGCTAAAATCTATTTTTTTTGTAATGTATCCCCCTTTAAAATTTGTTGAATCAAGATTGCCTTGGTTGAATCAAACACTAACTCAGGTAAAAGAAAATTCAGACAATTTCAATGCAGATTTTTATACCCTAAGAAACAAAGTTTGGGGGAGGGGGTATATAGGAATCACCATGGTCGTCTTTCTGTCTGTCCATCCATTCAACTGTCTGTTCGTCCCTTCCGCTCATAACTTTTATACCATTAAACTTAGGATAATCAAACTTAGTATGCAGTTGCATCATGGGATGGTGATGTGTCACATACTAAATTCATGTCACTTTGACCTTGACTTTGACCTTTGACCACTATGATAGTAAAACCTATCCAATTTGTGTCCGGCTCACAACTTTTTTTCTTTAAAACTTAGGTTAACAGAACTTGGTATGCAGTTGTAATTTCTGAATTTACAGTATACAAATCTCAGACTTTGTTCCTGGGTCAATATAATTCTTTAAGATTGACCTATCAGTAACCATGTGTTAACCTAACACAGAGGCAATGCTTGTATAAAATGAACGACTGAAAACCAAAAATCTCAAAATTTCATTGCCTCAATACTGAATTTCACAGCAACAACTAGAATGCAAGTATGGTAGTAATAGTCCAGCTATGCGGACAGCTCTAGTTTAAAATTGACTCAAAAACATTTCTCCAATTTCTGAGTAGGTAGAAATTTGAGTCAAAATATTTACTGTAGGAAACCCTAAAACCTTATCTTCCATCTATTGGGAGGGTCTTTATAATTTAAAAATTGAAATAGTATATTGTAAGAATTTTGTAGATATTCAAAAGTTATGTCTGGCTTAAACAAGGAACAATTGTACTTTGAACATTTTCAATAAGCTTTGGTGATTGAAGACCTATTAAGTATTATCAAAATCAGAACATGTATTATGCATTATGGGAAAACAAAAAGATAATGTAGACATAATTAGTTCTTTTAATGTGTTTTTTCCTATATTTAAATAGATTTTTGTATTCTTCGTCTTTATAGCATCCAAAACCACACCAAGCGGCGCTGCTATGCATCCATCCAGTAAAGGTGAGAATATTTACATTACTGTAAATCAACTTATTTTCGTGGATACTTTATTTCGCGTTTAGCCCTTTCTAGTCCACTTCGCAACGATTAAATTTCACGATTTTCTAATTTACTAGATGTAGTTAGAAAAGGAAAGATCCAAGGTTTACATATTTGCGACGATTTATGTTCGTGTTATTTTTCTACTCTCGAAAATAAATTGCTCACAAAAATTAGTTGGTTTACAGTATTTCTTAAGTTTACAATCAACTAAAGTTTAATTGGTCAGTTTGTTGTTTTGTTCATGTTGTTATGTAGTTAATAATAAACGAATTGCTTTGTTGCAATTATGTAAATTGATACAGCATTTTTCCATTATTTGTAATATAGTCTCTGTTGCCAAATGCACTAGATTGTAGATGTAAATTTTAAAGACCATATAGCAGCCTATCATTACAATAGTGGTTTAAGTCTCAATCAGATCACTACAAAATTACCTAGAGAACTGATACACTTGTATGTGATAGAGTTTGTCAGTTATATTTCAAAAGTTGGTAGGGTTTTTTCAGGTGCACTTCAGTTTTCCCCATAGGTGAAGGTGGCAATAATTGACATAATGGAAAGTTGCAAACTATTACAAGGGCTGTGTCAACCTTTGTGAGAGCTTTTTTTGTAGTCTGATTACTAATATTGTAGATTAATTTGAGAGGATGTATCTACACATAATATTCATATCACAATGCACTATTTAGTTTTGATTATCAATTATTTTTTTTATTCAGAACTAAGATTGCTCAGACCAGAACCATCATTCCAAGAACTAAACAGATGTGCCACAAACCTTAAAACCATATTAAGTCGCATTCCAATTCAAATTGATGACCGAAAACAATTCCTAGAGACTATAAAGTAAGTATTAATGATATAAATATTTTATAGTGATTTTCTACTTAAAATATAGGATGGGAGATATTTTTTACATGTTTCATCATATGTGGAAATATTACATCGAGTAGAATTAAAAAAAAACACATATCATACAGAACTATATGTATTGGTAATGCCTCATTAAAAAAAATGTCATATCTTCAGCGGATTGCAATTTCGAGAATTCTTTGATTTTGTTTACTGCCAGCACTTCTTCATATAGAAGGCAATTATTTTCAAACCCACATTTCATTTCAAGAAGACAGAACTCATTGATGTTTTATCTCAACTTGAAATAAAAAAATGAACACTTATCATCTTATAAAAATTGTCCTGTCTTTAGAAGAGGTGTTTATCAGTGCCTTTTTATGAAGTAAAGAATAAAACAGACTATTATTCAGATTGAAACTATGAGACATTTTTGATGTCTCTTCTAGATTATAATTTGAAAATGGAGAAGAAGAAAATTGAATATATAATCATACAATGTGGCAAATTTCTATTTTTTTTTTTTCCAGAGAAATTGCAGGTTCCATAAAACATTTATTAGATGCCTTCAATAAAGTAATAGCTGAAATACCTGGTGGTGATAATGGAAGTAAACAGGTATATATTTATAATTAAATCAATAGTCTTCTTAGAGTTTTGCAGAGATGTAATGTTGTGCTGATCCTTACATGGTATCAGCAGTCAATATCTTCATGAAAACTAATGAACCGATTTCAGTAAAATTTACATGTATTTTGTGTCTTGTTTAGCATACACTACAAGATAATATTTAAAGGATTAATGGTATAAAAAAGCAGGATTTTTTTAGTTGATTGTTGTTTATCTATTGTCAGTGGCAAATATTTGTATTTAACTAAACCAAAGAATGAATTTGTAAGGTAGGTTTTGAGTGATTGGGCAATTTGTTTGTCACTGTAAAAAAAGTTTATGTCAAGTATGATGAGGAATGTTGTCTTGCAACAGATCACCAAAGGGCCTTTTGAGTTGTAATAAGGGTTCTTTAACATGGAGACAGGGTTGCATATATAATCATGGTACATTGACATCAGATTTTAATGTTCCATTCAACTGATATTGGATTGATTTTAGCCAAAAGTACATCATGCTTTTATTGTGCGATAGCTTACAGCTGTCACCATTCATGTATTTTAATATCCAGGGTTTTAAAGACTGATTTAAATTGCTGCTTTCATTTTGCATTTAGATTGTGACTCTACTAGTTTTCTTATACCTAGTTGGTATCCATGAGTTACAACAAAACTTTTGTTTGTTGGTAAAAACCTGTGTAGAAGGGTTTGAATTCCAGAAAAAAAAGTAATACTTTTGATTGGAGTACCAAAGGTAATTTGATGCAGGAACTTTTTCATGTTTATTATCTATATTTTACTTCCTTCTTTTAGATTTTAGAAGATAGGAAAAAAGAATTTGTACGATATTCTAAGAAGTTTAGCAATATGCTAAAGGCCTTCTTCAGAGATGGCAGCCAGTAAGTAACCCTATATAACGTTATTGTTAATATGCAGATGTGGTATGATTGCCAATGAGACAACCTTCAGCAAGATACAAGGATGTAAACAACTATTCTAATGCAACATCGTTTGTAACGTTCATTTTGATTGGATAACGTCACCAATATTCATGGCATCAATTCACAATTGATGCTATGAAAACATACGCGCAAGCGCAGACGACGTATGACAGATTTTAAATGTATGCTTTGTTTTCTGTCAGTTTCATTAGAATGGAGATAACAATACTGGATTTTAAAGCTCCGACGGCATAGATTGGTGATTTGATGATCGCAAATACCCGTTTACTGGCTCCTTTTATGCATCGCCAGTAAACTTAATTTGCGACCATCAAATCACCAATTGATGTCGTCGGACCTTAAAATACAATACAGTTATCTCCTAATAGGTCACAGTTTACTTTTAGCATTTCATCTGCTTCCTTTATTTTTGCTTCAGCTTTATATTTTATTGAACGTTTTAAAATATTTCTTGCAAAGTGCATAGAATTTTTAGTGAGAAATTTAATTCTCTGAACCTTATTTTTGTGGAATGAAGATGAGAGTCTAAACATTATTTTTACGTGTCCTTCAACAACGGTTTCTGATTTAAATAAGCTACCAGAAGCAAGCAACAATCTATTGAAAGCAAAAAAAAAAATCATACAATAAAAGTAAATGAACCATTTGTAATAATTTCGATAAGACTGACTGAGGAAAAATTATTTATATAGGTTTAATATAGTCACAGAATTTGCTTCATAATTCTTATTATGCTTCAGGAATTATTGCGATGTTTTTATTATTGCGGAAAATGTGACAGGGTCATAATTGCAATAATTAAAACTCGCATTTTGAATTTTTTTATATGAATTAAACAGGATTTTTCTCAATATCGCAAAAATTAAAATTGCATTTTAGTCTTAAAATGTCAAAATCGCAATAATAAATGCACGGCAATAATTTCTGAATTTACCGTATTTGTTTAAATTTTTTTCCCATGATCTGTTTTTGTTGAACATTAAGTATAAAACCATTTCAAGCAATAATTAAGTTGTGTACAAAATTCTGTTCGATATTTACATGCATATAATGGAATTTTCTGTCTTTCAGAAGACAGAGTGTATTTCTGAGTGCTAATTACTTGATCTTCCAGACCAATGTCATTTTAAGAACTGTGAAACAAGAAACAGAGAGAGAATGAATCTCAAACCAAACAAGCATCAGCTAGATGTCTGTTGTATAAACATTTATTATGATTTATTTTAGCAAAACCTTTCTTTCATTTGTGTGAGGGAATTATTTAATAGTAGGCTACGAACATATAAACAACTGGAAAATGTTTGTGGCAGTTTTATTTTCCACCATTTTCATAGCAAATCAAATTGAATTAAATTATTAAAATTTTAACATATTTGAGATATTATACATGTATAAATGTGTAAAAGGCTACAAAAATTAATTTTATGTGACAACTCTTAATTATTTAACATTTTCAAACAAGTGCTTTTACAGTTCAAATGTGTCAATTATGTTAAATTGTTGGAAGAACAAAATAATTGAACAAAAATTGGACCCAACAACCCTACTTTTTTTTAGCATGTTATTTATTGGGAAAGTAGATACTATTGTTTATTTAGAATACATTTACAAATTTTGTAAAAATCGCCATTTAGTGCTTGATTACTATAGAAAATTTTTTTTTTTGTCTATAAAACTTAAACACCACCCGACTTAAGGGGAAGCTAATACTATCGTGATCAGCTTCAAAATTTTAGAATAGAAGATAAATGTTTGCCTTTAGAATTTATATTTGACAAATGGTTTATTGATTAATTAAAAAAGAGAAACATATAGATTTTAGTTTGTAATGAACCTGACAATAGTTTTTGTCATCTTCCTTCACCAAAAGCTTATAGGTTTTGCATGATAAAAATACACTTAGTGTATTAAGAAGTTTTAGATATTAGGCCAAGTGAAATAATAATCATACATTTGGTTTCTTACTGAAATAAATTTAAGGTGATAGATTTAAAAAATAAGATCTTGTATAATTTTATTTTACATCTAATTAATAGGACTTCATTGTCAGCTAAACTATGCATGTTAAAAATGTTTTTAAAAAATTCTTCATAAGAGGGATAAAAAGAATTTTAGTTAGGATAGGGAATTGTATCTATTAATTTATTTGGCCTAAGATGAAATACCTCACTTGTTTGAAGGTCCCTTATTTGGTTATAAAAATGAAATTGGGACACTGAGATTAATGCTTTTGCCCATGCTTATACAGGAGATGATATGATAAGGCCACTTTTGGACCCCTTGACTAGAATAAAAAATTCAATGTATTATAAATCATTGAATTACTTTTTCAAATATTAAATAGAAATATGTCTCAGGTATCAGTAATAAAATGTATTTGAATTTTTAATTGCACAACATTTTTTAAGGTCTTGAACTTCTTGCATTTATAGATGAACTGCAAATACCTGTCGAAATAGCCTCATTTTCAGATCTTATTCATTTGAGATAAAAGTAAGAATCTTACCCGAAAAGATAATTAACCCAAGGTGTCTTGTGTAAAGCTGTTGATGTAAGTTAATTACTTAGTAAAATGACAATTTTTAGTCAAATACTGATGTCACAGATGACATTTCTGCACTCAAAGGACCAGACTATATTATCCCATACATTTACCAATAAAATATGCATACTTTTTTTTAAGAGATTGAAGTATCTAATTTTGCAAATTCAAATGGAAAATAATGGCTCTTATCATACCTTCTCCTTCCTTTTAAATGTAAACAATAGTCATAATGTTCTTGCCTAGAATAGATTAAGCATGCTTGAAGCATAAATCTTTTCATATAAAATATTTATATAGACATAATTTATGATTGTTTTACTATATCTCTAGTAACAGACAAGCTGCTGGAAGAAAAGAATCCTTTAGTATTTATCCGGTATTTGTCATAACTGAAATAAATTTTCTGAAGTTGAGATGTTTTTTTACAATATCCAATTATTAAAATTTTGAATAGTCCCAGATATCTTCGAACTAACTTTGTAAATAGATCTTTCTCAGCTTTCTTATACTCTTAACTGTAACAGCTGTTTTTTTAATAGAAATATCATATATTTGGAAAGAATAATAAACCAGATTTTCTTTAAAACTGTAGTTCGGGCACTCTGAAGTAATTCTAGACATTGGCTTTTCCACCAGCAAACAAATTTTGCAACTAAATATATTTAAAAGCAGATAGAATAGGGGAAATGCACCACTGTATTGCTGCATATAGTATATAAAGAAAACTTGTACATGCTGAAATAGGATTTTGTTTAAATTGAAGACTTGAATCAAATAAAATTTGTTGAGGACCCTAACAGGAAGGTAGTATTACATACAACCAGATCAGAAGTTCATACATGTTTTCTATGGACCAAAGGCTGGTTGTAAGTGATAAAGGCCTTTTTGAAGTATTTCCAAAGAGAACACCATAGCCTTTCTTGTACTTGTATTTTTTTTGTATTTTATTATATTGGATAGACAAAATTTCATACTGTGTGAACTAAATAATGGATTGGTCTCTTTTTTAAATAGCTATGGTCTTGCCAAAGTTTATTTTTGGGCAGAATAAAAAACCTTTGGCTTCTCAGGTCCTCCCTCATCTACTCAATATCTACCTCATTAACAATTTTTATCTTTTGACAAAAAATCAAGAGTCCAAGAACTATTAATTTCTATAAATATCAGATATTCTGATATAATATTTGGTGAAAAGTATCTCCCTGCTTCTGACATGAAATTTTGAAAACTTGAGAAGCTGTCAATGGATTTATTGATTGTGGCCTTATTAAATTTAGGTTTGTTTTTGCTGATATTGAAGACTTTATATTCTGATCGTGCTAATAATGAGTCCTAATCTCTATTGGTGAACATTCCATCATGATACAAATGGCAAATTTATGTTATTTATTTTTCTCTTTAAGATTCACATTGTATTAAATATGTATTTAACACTACTTGTCCCATTTGATATGTGTAATTTTGTCTCAGTTTTGTCTGTTTTTTTTTGTGTATTTTTGAAGTAACTATGGTTTATTATTCCATAATTTTATCAATTGAGAGTTGTCTCCCATCTCAAATATTTTTCCAAGATCTGTTTCTCTTTTGGGGTTAGTATTTCATGTTTATAGTGGGATAATTGGTTACTATGGCAAAAGAACAAATTTAAGATAAAGTTAGAAATAGTAATAGAGATTATTACATCATAAAATTAAAGATATGAAAACATCAGTAGACTTTGAAATATAATGAAAAAAAAAATCAATGTGAAAACAAAAATAAATTATCCTATTGATTTTATTCAAGTTTGATAGAAAATATTTGACCAAAATAGAAGCATTTTACACTTAAGTTACTCTAAAAGGGAATGTAAAGGCTAATTTTCATTTCATTTGATTTAGAATTGTTTTTAGTGTTTTTGAGTTTCCAACATGACATGGCAATTTTAAAGTAAAAAAGGAATGATTTGAATAACTATACAGTTAATTTTTTTTATGTTAACCAGTTTGTTTCTTTAATAGGTGCCAGTATACTGTATACACAGTTCTTTTATTGTTTTGATGTGTTTATTATTTAACTGATAACTAATTTAATTGTTTCTTAATACACTTCTATAATTTACAAAGTTTTTGTCTTGAGGTGTAAGATATAAAGAATGAAACTTTTGTAAAATTTGTGTATTTAATATTTTGTATGTGATTGTTAATTTGATTATCACAGTTTTTGCTTGGATAATGTGACAATGTACATATTTTATTTTATTAAATAAGTCAAAAAGCATAAGGTCTCCATTCAGATATGTTTTTCAATGAGCCTGCAACATTTTGTTGTGGAAGCGACATAATTCCGTCAGCATGGTTAACTTTTATGTTAATTCTGTAATTTTTTGTTTTTTTTCTGAATTTTACTGAAAAATGGTCTTTGGCAGCCAACATTACACTTTGATAGTGACATACTCATATAAGACACAAGGTTCTAAGGAACCCTTTACAATTTTTTCTTTTCATGCTGAAAAATTAGACTTGAATATTTGAATTCATGGAGAACATGTGTGATGATGTGACTGGCTTTCTCAGGTATTGTGGAGAATAGATTGACATATTCCTTTTATAAACTTCAACAGTAATTATTAAGTTAAATTAATTTTTTGAGACCAGTGTATATGTTCAGTCTAACACTTCTAAACAGAAATAACTATAAATGCGTGATTGCACTCTCTCTATAATTATAAAGAATTTTTTTTTACTGTTATATCAGTATTTCTATGGACTTGCTATTATTTTCATAATTACTATGTATTTTATGTTTTATTTTATTGTATCATATATTCAGATCTGAGACATGTATAAAATCATTAGAAGCTACAATATGTTGTTTCTTTTCTGATTAACAACTTATATCTCATATATTGGTTCTAATAGCCAGCATCTACTAGTCAATTCTAAGTGATGAAGATTTCACAGTCAGTAGGATATGGGCATTACCTTATTGCTTTAAACTCTTTAGCTTACCTTCTACTTTGGCACTACAGTGAAAATTTTTAAAAGTATTTGTAATAGAGCAGTTTTTCTGACTTTTATTAAATTTTGTTAGCATTTAGATATCGTTTAATTGCATCTGAATATTGCAAAACTGGTATATGAAGCATTTTTACTTACAGAGGTACAATATTGGTCGCTTTTTATGTTTATTCTTTACGTTTAGAAATCTACATTACACATTTTTAATTGATTGAAATTTTGGAAGTATAAATGTTGCACATTTCATTTTTATTATATGCCCGTTTGCTGGACTTATTATGGTATACCGCTGTCCATCCGTCTGTCCGTCATCAACATGTCCGACAATAACTCAAAAACGCTTTAACCAATTTGCATGAAACTTTGGTGAATTGTTTATATCTATTGACGTGAGCTCCCTTTCGTTTTTTATAAATTTTTCATTTTACATTTCCGAGTTATGGGGTTTTATTTATTAAAAAAGGGGGATTTTCCAGTTTTCTGACAATAACTTAAAAACACTTTCACCAATTTGCAAGAAACTTTGGTGAATTGTTTATATCTATTGACATGAGCTCCCTTTAGATTTTTATAAATTTTAGATTTTATGTTTCAAGTTATGGGGTTTTATTCATTAAAAAAAAGGGGGATTTTCCAGTTTTCGGACAATAACTGAAAAATGCTTTCAGCAGTTTTCAATTGTTTATATCTATTGACGTAAGCTCCCTTTCAATTTTTATAAATTTTAGATTTACGTTTCCGAGTTATGGGATTTTATTGATAAAAAAGGGGTGATTTTCCAGTTTTCTGACAATGGTGACTGGTTTATATCTATTAAGATAACCTCCCTTTAGTTTTTCATAAATTTCTGATATGACATTGAGAAGTTATTGAACCTTATTCTTTGAAAACGCGACAGGCGTATCATGCGCTCATGGTGCAGCTGTTTATTCTATATTCAGATGCAGTTCAACAAGTTCTAAATGCATACAGGATTTTAAAAATTGAAATACTGCCCATTTCATAAACTTCGTTTTAAACTGAACCCTGTGTAAAATAGAAAACTGTATAAGCTGAACTTTTGTATCTGGTCAAACATTTTTAAGTAATCTATATAAAAGGATGAAGATACCAAAGGAGTAATAAAAAAACAATAGACCAATGATGCCATTGCTGAAAGAAAAAAAGACTAACAGACAGCGGAAAGTCCATAACCATGAACCCCATCAAATACCTAGGGTGAATATATGTGCTCTGGAAGGGTAAGCAGTTCTTGCTCAACTAGTGGTACCTGTCATGTTGTCTTGTGATTAGTCACATTCTATGATCTCAAATAAGGAAACCATCAAACCTTCTGATCAACCAATTAAGCCACAATTACATTTGTACTTAAAAAAAAAAAAAAATATTTTATGCTCAGTTCCGTTGGCGAATCCTTCCATCTTTCTGTCTCTCTGTCTGTCATCCCATTTTCGTTTGTTTTAAGCTTGAGGGGGGCATTTGTGTCCTCAGTCACATTCTTCTTTTATTTTTATCAGTGGTGAGCATGTTGGAACCAATCGTTGTGAAGTTTCCCCCCAGAAATCAGGGAACCTTTTCATAAAAGTGGCAACCATCATGATAAATTGGTTGAATATTTGATTTGTCTAATTTATGACCAAATATTGATGAAATGGTCTCTAGAATGGTACTACTTCAGAAGTATATTTGATGACTCAAGATAACAGGTGGATTATTGCTGAACTATTTTTGTCTATATTGGATACATGTTTCATGATGCTCTCTCTAATCTCTTCAATGGTCATAGCTACATGGACATCAACTTTAGGGATCTTTAGTTAGACAAATTTTATACATAATATCAGATTCAAAAGTTTCATTTTATACATTTGTTTTTAGAGGTTCTGTATCTTCTGAGGGTGCATTTGATATATGAGCTTGTTCAAGATGCTGTTGTTGAAACCAGTTTTTCAAATAATATGACCATACTATGGTGGACTGGCAAGGAAAAAGCTTATACTGAACATCTATTCACTCACTAGCCCAAAAATTACAATGTCAATTAGGTTATACTATTTCAATGAAATTACAGTTTAAACTTTACACAAACTTAACAATTACTTTTATGCTAAAATTCCCAGTTTTGTAATACTGGTACTTCATTTTTGTTAGCATCTCCTATTTTGAATTATCCAGGTTAGTTGGGATGGCATAAGCAGGAAATTGAAGTTATCTTCCCTAGTAAATATAATGAAAGGAGATAATTCACATTTAAAAAAAAATGCTTCTTGGTGTAATAAGTATGAAATGAAAGAAATGTGGGGTGTTTGTCAATGAGACAGCATCCCAAGAACAAAAAAGACCATATTTTACAATACATTACGTCCAGTTTCAAATAGAGTCCAGAAAAGTAGCAAATAAATTTTAGGGATTATGAAAGATCTATTCTGCAATTAAAAAAAATCCCCACAATGACAAAAAACACATTAAGATCATGACAAATGGCAGCATTCAGAGGTTCCTAATCAAGTTAGGTTGATCAACTGAAACTATGGTTTTATTTTTAATGTTTATGTTTAATAATCTAAAGTCCTTAGAAAGTACTAAGAAGTAATGCTCATGAGCAATACCATACATTCAATCTCTAACCAAAAGCTGTATACCATGAACTACATTAATGCTCCATTGACTTTGGTTTAACTTATCATAAAAAATTTAAGATTATTTTGATCTAAGATATCTTTATTAAAACAAAAAATAATTTTGAACTCGTGAATGTTGCAGTTTTGTGGCATATCAAGGATTTCGAAAATATGGCCCTACATTTTTGTATAAAATTATTAATTATTTTACTATCAAAATTCTAATTGTAACATTTTGCAGTTATAAGTTAAATTTTTCCCCTAACTGATTTGTGTTCGTTTACGGATTTGTTTTGGATATTATATTTTTTCGGAACTCCTTGGACTTTATCTTAAAAACTGAATAGCAAACGAAACAGGTAGGTAAATATAAACACACCTGTTTTTATTTTTCAACTAAAAGTAAGATTAATAATGGAATTCATCAAGTGATTGATGCACAAATCATCATCATATAATCATGTTCTGTTTTGTTGATGTATTATCTATTTAGCATTTTCCATTTCAATGAAAATGTACATCCTTATAATAAATTTTGTCGTGTTCACTGCAAGTGATATGCGCGTTCGAATCCAATCTTAACCGACTTGGATAGTCAGTTTTTCCTGCCTACAATTGGTGGTTATCTCCGAGCACTACGACTTCTTCCACCAGTTAAAACTGACTGCCACTATATAGCCAATACACAGCAATAGTGCTGAAAGTGATGTTTAATAAACTCAATCAATCAATCATCTTATTCAAAGTTAGTCTTTTAAATTAGATTTAATGAAAATCCGTCACAAATTGCAGGACAAAAATAATTCTTGTGGTTATATCATCAGGGAATGAAATTTCTCAATTGATAATAAAACTGTCGCCAAAAAGTCAACACTGTTATAATTCTGCTTTACTCGTACAGTGTACATGGTGTACATGTACTTATAAGTTATAAGTTCATTAGAATCAGACCAGAAATGACGACAAAGAATTTTTTTAGTGTGGATAAAGGTAAAGGTTTATGTATGCTTCTACAAGTTGTGTATGAGCTTATACACCTTAACTATTATTTGGTTGATATTTCTGTGAGTTACAATTGATCTCCAATTTGGAAGAGTTGATGCTGGACATAAATGTCAATACACTTAGACATAGAAACATGAAATATATTTCTTTAAGCATACAGAAAACAAGCGAGATATACATGTATGTTGTAAATACATGTTGTACTATGCCACAATAAATGATAATGTTTTGTTTTGTAGAATAAGTTCAGCTGTGAAACTTGTACATTAAAATTTTTGGAAGCTTGATGTTTATCATGTTTATCCTCTGGCTTGGTCAAATCTTAAACCATGCTCAATTGAAATGCTAATTAATACCCAATAACTTAAAGGATAAAGCTGGGCTAAGGGTTAAAAATCATTTCAGGGCAACAGAATAAGTGTTCTAAGTACATTTTATTTGTATTTTCAATTAGCACCATGAGATTTGAAAAAGCACCACATTTTATATAAGGGGTCATCCATAATTGTCAACCATTTTCCAAAGTGTACAAAACGTACACTTGGGGGGAGGGGGTTAAAAATCAACATTTCTACCGAACGCTTTTTAAAAAAAATATTTTCGGAATTTTTTCGTTTCCACAGGGTTTAGTATTTTTAATTACCGCGATGAAGCCATTAGTGATTCGATCGGGAAGGCTCGTGAGTTGGATCATTGTCACAGTGGTAAAATGGACAAAAATTGATTTTGAGATAACAAAATCCCTTAGTGAAATATTGCAAATATAACAAAAACAGTGATTTTACAAAATCTTTTACAAAATGTCCGAAAAGTCTCAAAATCATTTTTTGTCCATTTTACCACTGTGACATCATCATCTATTCTACTGGTTTTGATTGGGGTAGCATTTTATAAATTTGATAGGTTCAATTGTGTCGATTTCTTTGACTTCGACATTTTATGATTAGTGAAAACTACTGCAAAGGGATCGGGATTTCCAATTAGAGGAGGGAAAGTTTTCCATAAGTCTTGAACTCACAAAGGGTATGAATCAATAACGGCAACAAGACAATACAATGCAAGTTAGTATGTTAGCGTTAAGTAGCGAGTCTGCTGTATTTTGTGAAAACTGTTAAAAAAGATTATAAAGAAAAAAGTTTTATTTTTTATTTTTTTTTATATATTTTTTTTTTACCTAGATTACTGCCTCTGTTACATGTACCTCAACATAAGCTATGCGCCAATGGCAGATGGACAGAACACTTAATTTTAAATACAATGATTCTCCCAAGACACATATTTTGATTTATGACTGAGTCTGCTGTAATTTTGAAAACTTTACATTCATCATTCAATAAAATATGCAAATAAATTTAAGGTCAAACGAATCATATACGGCGGAGATGTACTCCTTTCAATTACCCAATAGACATTATGCAGATGACATATTACTTACAGTAACACAAACATGACTTTTTTCTTATAATTCAGAAACTGCCCTTATAACACAAACTTATCATGGAATCATGGTCCATGAAGAGATCAAAGTCAGTTGAATTCTTCCAGATGGATAAGTATTCTTCAGAATAATTCTAGACCAAATAGAACTGACTCACTTATAATGATTTGGTATTAAGAATGATTGATTCTTGTCTTGAAATCTGAAAATGGTTGATGTACACTTTTTGAGGGAGGGTGGGGAGTCTGAAAAAATGTGTGTTTTGTACACTTTTGAAAATGGTTGACAATTATGGATGACCCCTAATACATGTACAATATTGTTTCTAAATCTGTTGCAATAGCACCATTATAAAAATATAGCAACATGGTATTCTCAATAAATCTTTATATAATTCTTTTGCTACTCTCATGTTTTGCCAGTAAAAAGGGCCAAAGATGTGAACAATAAAAAAATATATATTAATATTACATGTGTACATGTATGTATGGAAACAAACTTGAGGATTAAAAAATCAACCCTTGAATTATATTTCAGAAACACATAATCCTTGTGAATTATGAATACCATGTGATGTGATTTTATAGTCAGTTCTACAGAGGCATCATGGGAGAAAGTAGCAAAGCACTGTATGCAAGGATGCTGGTGGATGTTGTTATCGGCCCAGTCCTGGACAATGTAAGCTTAATGACAGTTAAATATAAACAGCTGTAGCTGTCATTTCTTATAGGAGGTTACCTGAAATAAATACAAGACAACTGTCAACATCATATTTTCTTTTCACCATGAAATTAAAAGTTTGTGTATAATATAAGATAGGTTTTCATACAACCCTTTAATCAGGTGAACTTTGTTACTGGTTTCACACATGCTTACAGTCGATTTCCTAATGCATGTAGAGTAATAGTTTGGTTGGCTTGCTTGCTTTGTTTGTATTAATGTTTGCTCAAGCATTGTAATTAAGATTGACATCTGCAAACAATATAAGTAGGTGGAGTTAAACCTGTATAGGTGAATTTGATTATTTAATAGTGTCCTATCAAATTTAAGTATAATGTATACAAGTTTAACTCTGCCTTTATATATTGTTTTCAGATGTCAATCTTAATTACAATGCTTGAGCAAACATTAATACAAACAAAGCAAGGTAGCCAACCAAACCTTTAACTTGCTAGCATTATGATAACAGCTGTAAAGTTTTTTTTGTCAAGAACTTTGTGTGCATATGTACTGTGGATTAATTATCATTAGTGGGATACTTATTTTCTTGGATTTTGTCTGTATAAATGAACCAGTAAATGTTCAACAAAGTATAAATTTCTCATAGAGTATTGTATACAAACTTAAGCAAAACTACGAAATGAAGTATCAATGAAAGTACAATTTATCTACAATTCACAAAAATTATTACCAATGAAAATAAATGAATCCACAGTATACAGCTGTACATTATTTCAGTGAATAAGTCGAAGAAGCAAATGAAAATATTAAATTAAATAATTTAATTATTTTTATAGTTTATATTATTGGAAAAAGTCTAATAATTTTTGTCTTATAGAAATGAAGCAACACATCTTTTTTTTATGATAAATGATATCAAAATAATATTTAATTTTATACTTTGTAGTTAGAGAAGAAAGATATATCAGCAGCCCATACATTGAGAGCAGCTTTCTCAAAGGTACTTGTTTGTCATTCTCTTTGTAATTTTAAATGATGTTCCCATGTAGTATAGTATTGAGAGTGTTCCTTGTCATAATAATAATTCTATTATGCCTGATGGTGAATTTCTTGATTTGTCCTGTGCTGTTTAAAATGTTTTTTAATTTGCCTTTCAACAATGTGAAGTGAGAAAAAATATGGCAATGCTTATATCTATAAGCACTAAAGCAAATGTATCTCATCTAATAGACCACTTCACAGAGTTATTGCAGCCATATTGAATAAGAGGCAGATTTTTTGGATGGAGGTGGCGATAGTAAGAAAGTACAGGGACGCCTATACATGTTTCCAAGCAACTGTTCTGTGTCAGTGACGTTTTCCCGTGTTTTTCAAAGCATTTTCACCCCATTATGTTAATCTGCCCCCTATTCAATATGGCTGCAATAACAGTGAAAGGGCCTATTGACAAATGTACATTTAGTTTCACTCAACATTATCAATACTATTTTACTGAAAATTCACAAAAATTTATCAGATATTCATTCCAGTAGAATCTAATTTTCCTGGTCCAAAAATGTTTCAGTGGTTGTAATCATCAAACCACTGTTCTTTGATGATCTCTGTACAATATTTCATTTCAGGAAGACCACACACTGCCAGGGTTTGTGTACGATACACTATTACATTTCAGACTGACCACTGCCAGGGTTTGTGTATGATACAATATTTCATTTCAGGCTGACCACACACTGCCAGGGTTTGTGTATGATACAATATTTCATTTCAGGCTGACCACACACTGCCAGGGTTTGTGTATGATACCATATTTCATTTCAGGCTGACCACACACTGCCAGGGTTTGTGTATCATACAATATTTCATTTCAGGCTGACCACACACTGCCAGGGTTTGTGTAATTCAATATTTCATTTCAGGCTGACCACACACTGCCAGGGTTTGTGTATGATACCATATTTCAATTCAGGCTGACCACACACTGCCAGGGTTTGTGTATGATACAATATTTCATTTCAGGCTGACCACACACTGCCATGGTTTGTGTATGATACCATTAGAGGTATGCTGAGGAAAGCTTTGATGATCTCTTTTTAAATATTTCATTTCAGGCTGACCACACACTACCAGGGTTTGTGTATGATACCATTAGAGGTATGTTGAGGAAAGCTGAAGTCACAGACAAAGTAGATATGTGTGAAACATTACTGAGACTTGGAGGCACTCAAGATAGTGATGGTATGATTTCAGTAAAATTTGTCAAAGTTTCAAATTGTACATACAAATGTACCCTAACAAGAGGCTGAAAATAGAATTTCTTTTTTTAGTAAATTAAAATTAAATTCAATCAAATGTACTTTTTAAATAGCTGATTGCATCATAAGTCGTAGATCATACCTTGTTTGATTTATTCAAGTAGAAATATGAATTAAAGGAGGTGTCACTGTGTGGGGTGTATGCTATTTTTTAAGCAACCTAATTTCAGCTGAAGTTAAACTTGTTAACTTATAAGTATGAATATACTCACATTTGTGATCTCAGTTTTTATAATTTTCAAATAGCACTTATGCCTTACTAAGTGCTTTGTCAGTTGGTACAATCACAAAATGCTTTTCTCAAGTTTTTTTTTCTCGTCTAGATATCATATTAGTAGCATGATTTTAAATTATATAATCATGAGAATAAAGATGAGAAAATTAATTTTATGAATTAAACTTTGAAATCTGAATATTTGTAGAACTCAAATTATATCGCCCAGAAAAAACATTTCAAGACTTAAGCAGATGTGCTACTGGTTTGAAAGTGATTCTTGGTAGGATACCAGAACAAATTTATGACAGAAAACAGTTTTTAGAAACTATTAAGTAAGTAATTGCAGACAGATAGCTCTTTTAAGTGAATATCATATTGTAGTTACATTAACTGTTTCATACCTATTTAAATTTAATGGTTTAAGAAATTGATATGGTCCGCTTTTCTTCAGGCCAGAAATTGGTATGTTCATTATTGAGATATTATCCTCTTTTAGTTATAAATTATTAAATATATCAAGATTTTCACTCATTTGTTTGTGTAGACAAGACCTTTCAAGTACTAGAATGTATGTGTTGTTAATTTACATATTTACATCTGCTGTGTGACAAAACTTTTCAAATATTAAAACCAAAAAAATCAACAGGCTGCTATATAATGTTGTGTTATGGTCAGTAAATTATTAAATCTTTTGAATTTTTTACAGAGAAATAGCCAGTTCAATCAAACTGTTATTAGATGCCTTCAACAAAGTGATAGAAGATGTTCCTTCGAGTGACAGTGGAAGTAAACAGGTATGGTAGAGCTTACAAACAAGTTATACTTGTATTGCTTTATATAATTGCACCTGTCTAAAACCAGGATCAGATGTTCTGTTGACATTTTTGGAACCTTCGTTATAGTTGTTCTGCAGATTAAACTATGAAATAGATTTTTTGCCTTTTTGATATGATTTATTGTTCTCAACTTTCTAAAACCTTCTTTAGCTTTCTATAAGGTATACATTTTTGTCAACATTGAAAAACCATGCAATGGACTAAAGTTGCTGGTTTATACATTTTGAATTACATGTAAATGTGATACCCAAAGATGGGTTTCTAGTAACATGTAAACATTCTCTCCCTTTAGACCGTATGTTTTCATTGTGATTAATAAATTTTGTTTAATGTTTTTGTGAATATAACGGAAAAACAAAATACAAATATTTAAAATTATATTCAAAGAGATTGTTTTGTAGATCTTAGAAGACAGGAAAAAAGAATTTGTAAGATATTCTAAGAAATTCAGTAACATGTTGAAGGAGTTTTTCAGAGACAGCAGTCAGTAAGTACATTTATATTTTACAAGAAACAATCGATGTATTAACCAGTGCCAATTATATTTTATGTTAGATTGAGCATCTAACAGACCTGGCATATAGAGTTGCCATATGGGATATGTTGCCTGGTTTATCAGACCTGGCATATAGGGTTGCCATCTGGGATATGTTGCCTGGTTTATGATCCAGTATTCTACATTTTTAATGATATTTTTTTTTTAACTTGGAATGGGAGATTGCTGCTTCCTTGAATTTATTTCACAGATTATATCTTTAACATATGGATATGATTAAAGCATGGTACTTTTATTAAATTGTTATTTGTAAGCCAACTAAATCCAAGATTTCCACTTTCATAGGGTCTGATAGAAGAAGAAACCTTTTATGCAGGAATTATTATTATATAGATTTTCATGAAATTTTTGAAACTGCATACAAATACTTCTGTAATGAAATTTCCAGAGGTTAAATGAGTGAATGATCAGTCTTGTGCAGAGAATTTTACCATCTTTTACAGTTTAATGGTTATTTGAGGTAGGTATTTAAAAGAGCCTTTTGTTTAAAGCTGAATTAGTAATAAATCTTTGTTGTTTTTCAGAAAACAGAATGTTTTCCTGAGTGCAAACTTCCTAATATACCAAACCAACGTTATTCTAAGAACAGTAAAACAAGAATGTTGTTGATACTTAAAATTGGTTAGTAGAAAAATAAAAGTACAAAAAATACAAGGAAAAATAAAAAACCAAAAATAAGTTCAGCATTTATTGTTAAACTTTAAATGATGTTTTTATTTGTCAGTATAATTTGTTAGTGATGACACTTTAAATGAGTATGACCAAGTTGTTTTAGAACATACTTCGAAGCTGTTATTGTCATTTTGATGTTGGACTAAGTAGCATTATATATTATTTAATTGCAGCATTATTTATCTGTAACAATGTGCAAACTACCTTATAGCGGGTTATTTTCACTGGGTGTTTATTTTTGCTTATTTTGGCGAAAATAAATCAAAATCGTGAAAATATACTCTGCCAAATTTTAGGGCTATTCCATTATAATGTATGTGGGAGGGTAGGAAGGGAAGTTTAATTATTGAATGTGGGTCATGGGTCTTTTTTCAGTATGCGTCTATTACCATTATGCAAAATTATCTAAAAAATGGTTCTTGGTTGTAGGGATATTTTGAAAGTCCCTTCGTACCCTACCACATACATTTTAATGAAATAGCCCTTATGCATATGTTCGGTACTTTCTATTAGGTAAAGCGTTTTGAAAACATCTAATTTTTTTCCAGTCGGCAGGTCAATAACAGTATATGTTAGTTTTAACAACATAAATGCCAAATGGCATTGAACATGCATGTATTTTATAAAATGACTGTCAGGTGTGTATACCCTTATTAATCAATGTCAAATAGACTAAAAGTGTAAGGTACTCTGTTAGGTAATTACCCTTATTAATTAGTGTCAAATTATATAAGAGTAGTAAGTCACTCTTGATAATTTTATAACGTAAATAGTAAATACATCAATGGTCCGATCAATTTCGTAACCAATCAACCATAAAATTTACAAGAAGTTTGTATACCTGTGACAAATATCTAAGTTACCGGTATTCTATTGATTAACTATATCAGAATATAATCAACAAGTAAGACGTCATAACTATATCAGAATATAATCAATAAGTAAGACGTCATTCAGGTAAAAAAAATCATTTAACCATAACAATAGACCCTCGTTTGTCAATATTTACAACTTTTTAAACAGCAACAATTTCAGTATCCGCCAAAATATTTAATTGGGATTCAAGAATCCACCAAAATAAAAACGGCCAAATTTTTTTTCGTGTACTTTGTTGGCTTTCAATCATGAAATTTGACACCCGCGAAAATAACCTGCTATACGGTATATTAGGGACCTGACAGTAAATTTTTATTGAATCAATGTCGGTGAATTTGTGACTGTGTTCTATTATTAGCAAAGTTATTTGATTATTTATAATGTAGTCAACATTTTTTCTATTTTCACAACATTGTTGAAAGACAATTTCTTTAAGTATTGAGGTTTGTTCACTATTTTGAAAATTATAGAATGGTAGGGATGGGGTTATACAGAATAGGAATAATGGACAAAGAAACTTACAGATAGGGAAAATGGGCAAACAAATTAAGAAAAAGAGAATTTTTGGTGCTTAAATATAAAGAATAGAGAATTATGGGCAGAAAAAAAGAGAATTGAGAAAAATCTTCAAAAAATTTAATAAACGAAGACACCCCAATCCAGACCCTCTGATACTGTTTTGTATGTAAATCATTATTTCAGTACAATATTTTTGTTTCATAAGCATCATTCTTCAACAAGAAAATTAACATTTTGAGAATTTCAGATTATTACACACAAATTATAAAAATAAGATTTCCTTAATTTGGATCTGAAAACATATTTGGAATTTAAAATAATAGCTGTAAGGATCAAATGCAGTGTCATAACCTTTTCATTACCATTTGATAATTGTTGCTTCAATCAAGAAACTAGAATGAATAATGTCTGAAATTGTACTGGTCCAGTTCAAATGAAATATACTGAACACATTTTAAAAGTACATGTATTTTAAGTTCTAGTCCAATTAAGAATCATGCAAAATCTGATTTATGAGTCAAAAGCCTACAAATTATTGTTTTTATACCTTATTTACGATATAAACGTATGTTGAAATTTATATATGATTTTTCATTAGGACTCTTAGCAGCTTAGATATAAATTTCATTAAATGCACTATATAATCCATGCTGATAGAGATAACCCCAGTAAATGGAAAATATTACTCATTACTTTCATCCATATTGCAACTGATAAACACAAATACATATTTGTAGCCTTCGATGAGGTGTATCACAAAATTTAGATTTTGCATGATTTTTATATGAACTATATGAACTACTTCTTTAAAAATGTTGATTGAAAGAAACTTGATTGATAGATTGATGTTTTATGCCACTTTCAACACTATTGTGCTATTTCGTGGCAGTCAGTTTTTATAGGTGGAGGAAGCCGGAGAAAGAAACTTGAAAGGTGTGATTAAAGTTCCAGTTGTAAAATAATGCAATTTATGTTTTTATCATTATATGTTTAATATAATTGTATACAACTTTATAGTTTATTTCTGTTCATGATTTTGTTTTGCATGTAAGGGTAAGAAATGTTTACACTGGTGAAAATGCAGTAAGGCAATGATGTTGTGAAAAAAAATTATGTTCTATTCAAACATATTTTAAATAATTTATATATACTTAATATGCAATATGAATGAAGAATTAATACATGTATACATAGTTCTTGTGACTCATATTGTGATGGTTTTTTCTTATTCATTATCTTCATATATAAATAATTGGTAAAAGTATGGGCAATATGAAGATTACATTGTACTTTTAGAAAACATGGACTTCAGTATCTTTAAAGAATTTACTATTTTCAAGATCCTACTCAGAGGCAGATTTAGGGGGAGGGGATGCCTTATGGAGCCAGGGATGGGGTAATCGTAATCTGTAATCGTAATCGATTGTAATTGATTACATTTTCCCCAGTAATCGACAGTAATCTGTAATCGAAGACATTTTCGATTACATGTAATCGTAATTTAATCGATTACGGCAAAAATTATGATGTAATCATCGATTATTTTTCGATTACATTTCGATTACTTTGAGATATAACCTATTTTAAATGAAAATATGTATGTACATGATGTATTCATCACTTTATAGTACAGATTAAATAGAATGTATTACATTGTAATATGACTTAAGAGTTTATCAACTGCCTTATTTCTATCTATTATCTCAAGCTGCATTATAATCAACCAGATCCCCTACCAAATTTTACTTGATATTTAGGTTTTGAAACAAATGAACTTATGTGCTTGTCAATAATTCAAGACCTTTTATATTAAAATATGAAAATAGATTTAAGTTAAGAAATGAGTCTTAAGTTAATTTCTGTTCTACATTAAAGTAGTAAGCTTATTTGTATTAAAATTGCTTTAAGCATAATTTTCAATAAGAGTTGGAATTTTAGCTTTGAATAGATAAACAGTAACTGTAGATCTTACAATGTTATGATAAAAAAGTTAAGAAAGTACACAAAATCCTTTTGACAATGAACCAATGGGTATGCATCAAAATTCTTTTTTTCAGATATAGATACATGTATCCCTTTTTGACACAATAAATATATATTGTTTATAATTTGATTAGAGAATAAAAAATTTAACAAACTTCTTGTCTTTACTAATCAGAAGTTCACACTTCTAATCAATAAGATGCAGACTTTGTTTTCATTTCAATTATGTCTAGTTAAGAAGGAGATTTACATTATTTTTCCCCAGGTTATAAATTGTACTCCATTGACAGTTTTATAACCTGTAATTATGGGGGTTATCCAAACATAAGGATTAATTCATGTATGTCATTATAATTATAATTTCAATCTTTAAAATTTGCTGAACTAATTAATTATTCTATGGTTTTAAATTTTTTTTCAAAGGAAACTTACAACATTTTAATCATCTATGTTAAAATATACCTGTTTTAACGAGTAAAAACAAAAAAGCTAACTTAAGTAAGAATGAAAGCAAATTTTTGAAAAAATTTACAATATAAATAACTGATTGATGCAATGCGATGTCATCTCTTATTTATCTTGAAAGCCAAAATTTCAAGAAATTTTGAATATTTCTGACCTTCAGTATGATATTCCATCTAGAAAACAACTGTGAACTTAAAATTTGGTAACAATGCTTTAAATGCTGTTTTTAGTAAAGTTCTAAATTTCGACTATAAAAAACGTTGAGCAACATAATTGTGTATAACTTACTTTATTTATTTTTTTTGTAATTTTGTAGCATGTAATTGACAGTAATCGAAAAGTAATGTAATTACTTTTGATAAAGTAATTGATTGCAATCGATTACAAACAAAAATTAGAGTAATCGATTATTAATCGATTACACATAAATCCTTCATGTAATCGATTATTAATCGATTACATTTGTCAGTAATCGTGCCCATCCCTGTATGGAGCGACATATATGGTTAATGTATAGACTTTTAACAAGTCTCACTCCTAATGTTACCTTAGTGGCACCCATTACTGTCAATTTTTAGAATAAGAACAAAAGACTATTGAGTTAATCAGTAAAAATGTTGTCTGTTATCATAATTTTCTATTATTGGTACATCGAATATTTTGTATTAAGTTATTGTAATTTTTCAGTTTTGTGCTTTCTCAGTATAAACCATTCACATGTTTTAAAAGTGGTTGTCTTGCAACTTGTCAGTAAAATCTAAATTTTATCAAAAGATATTGAAACTATTTAGATGTTTAATTTTAATTTTTGATTAACCAACCGGCAATTTAGATTCAACAATTAACAGTTTTTCTAGAGCTCTTGATAATACTAGAATAGAAATGACGAATTGCAAGAAAATGGTAACACATATATGGTTTTTAAGGTAATTATTAATTTGTTACTAGGAAAAGGAATTTTTGCAATTGCATAATCTTAATTTATGAGTACATGGTTGTTATATTTTTGTTTAATTCAAATTTTTGTCATTTCTGTTCACAATGTGTGTATTTTTATTTATGCCTTCAATCAAAGATAATAGGTGTTCAAATGTTTTTTGGAAGCCACAAACTTTTACATTATATTGCAATATAGTCTTTTATAATTTATATTAAGTAATTTATATATTTTGAATATATGTTTGTGTATTGTACTGAAAATTGATACATTAGATTTGAAATAAATTGAAATATTTTTTGAAAAGTTTCTTTTACTGTCTCCACCTGCCTTAATATCACCTCAACTTCAAGTCAGTGGTCACCATCATAATACTTTCCATTACATTCCGGTATTTTATTTATATTTTCATTACTTGTTTCAGTAGTCACCTCTCTGAATCTCTCATTCATAACTATTTTTGTACAAAATCAATGTTCTGACTCCTGATTTCAGGGAAATCATGTGATTTGTTGAGTATGCCATTTCATTGGAAGGGATACTTTTTCTGTATAAGTACTGTAATGAGGTTTTCTCAGGGGTTAAATGATTAAAAATCACACCAAAAACTAAAATGAATTGTATGTTTAGTACACCAGAATCATGAACATATGATTTTCTGACAGGACATTGCATTTCATGAACCTGAGCATCCTGGGAACAAGTCCTAAGTACAGTAAGTGAGAATAATTCTATGGAGGTTCCCAATCTTTTGACATTTTAGATCACTTATGGTGGATCATCGGTATATCTTTCATCTGATAGAATTTTCATATACTTTGATAAAATGTAGATTTTACCATGCCTTTTTCAAAAATATAAAAAGTATGGGTCACTGTGCTATTTTTAGTGCTACAAGTCATGCAAAATAAATTATCAATGAAAAAACACTTTTTTTGTGAATAAAAAGAAATCTATGAGATAGATGAAATACGATATGAGAAGATAGGTTTTATAATATGCTTGAAGAAAAAATGGTGTCACCGAAATTGTTTTCTTGCTCCAAGTAAAAAATTAAAATTCTTTGGAAGAACTTTTACTATAAGAGTTATCTCCCCTGAAATGGCTAAGTTGAAAAATTGATTCAAACAAACACAAATATTTGGTATTTGTTAAAACAGTCTAAATAGTGCAATAAATCACTTATTTTACTTTATTCAAATAAACAGTCTTACACATTAATTGCCAATCTGTCTCAAAGATTGCAGATTTAAGCAAAGAACTAGACCTATTGAGTACTGATATTTTACAATCCAAGATGGCGGTATACAGTTAATCTTCCTTAATATAGAACCAGTTTTATTTTTGAATGAGAAGCTAACCAAACGACACAAAACCAAAAGAAATCTAAAAAAAAATCAAGATAAGGTCGAAAAGAAGGAAATACACCATGTTAAGCTCTAAATAGCCTCTAATCTAAACAAAGATGATGGTTTCCAAAGTATTGTCAAAAAGGAAGTCACTACCTGGCGATCTGAAAATCTCTTGCACAGTACAACTCATTCTTAAACGGTTCCAGACCAAATATCAAATATTTCCATAATACAGAACTAAATAATATACAGTGAAAATTCCATACGCATGATATAATAAAAATTCCAAGGAAGGGACCACTTTGCAAATATTAGTATTGCAATAGACAGGGTACAACTCATCAACATAAATTTCCAGGCCAAATTTGAAATTATTCTGTAACACAGAGCTGAATAATATAATTACAAAACAAATGCCATGCTGAGAGGTAATAGTAAAAAAAAAATATCATCTAACAGGATTGCATGACTGCCTGGCAGACCTGCAAATTGCTTACATGGTACAACTCATCATTAAAAAGTTTCAGACCAAATATCAAATCAATCCAAGAGCACAATTTGTTCCCATAGGAATGCAGCTTGTCCTCCATACGTATACGGTAACAAACATGTCGATAAAAAAACAAGCATTTTGAAGATGTCAGCTTCAGAGAATGTTTTGTTTGAACATGCATTGAATAGTATACTATTAAAAACCGGTACAATGCGAGGTTTTATAAAAATTATAGGTTGTATGATTCCCAATGAGACAACTCTTCACCAGAGACCAGATGACCTAGAAGTTAAAAACTATAGGTCACAATGGTCAAACCCGTACAACATAGTAAGCTATAAAAGGCCCCGGAATGAGAAATGTAAAACAATTAAAATGAGAATACTAACGTACTGGTTTATGGAAAAACAATAAACGAAAAACAAATATGATAAACAGCAACAAACAAGAACCACTAAATTACAGGCTCCTGACATGGGACAGGCACATACATAATGTGGCGGTGTTAAACGTGTTAGCGGACATGAAACCAGTCCCTGAACAAAACTCTGCGACAAAAGAGATGATTTCAGCTTCCCAATTGTGAACTTTCTATTTCTATGTAGTAACATTCCAGCAGCGCAGTATATATCCCCCTGTTGATACGATTTTCCAGGGCTTGTATTTATATTATAATTTCCTTGATAGAGGGTTGCTGCTACAACGGATATGTTCCAGTTGTCCTAACTACAATCCCGTCCCTTTTCCCAGAATGTGACCAACCGAATTAGACTTATCACCGGGTTTGTACTAACATGAGCAACACGACGGGTGCCGCATATAGGGAGCAGGATCTGCTTACCCTTCTAGAGCACCTGAAATCACCCCCAGTTTTTGGTGGGGTTCGTGTTGCTTAGTCTTTAGTTTTCTATGTTGTGTTTTGTGTACTGTTGTTTGTCTGTTTGTGTATTTCTTTTTTAGCCATGACGTTGTCAGTTTATTTTCGACTTATGAGTTTGAATGTCCCTTTGGTATCTTTCGCCTCTCTTCTAAACCTGGGACAGCGGATCATCACAACACAAAAATAAACTGTACAAAACAATAAACAAAAAAATAAATATGGTAAAACGTGAGAAACAAACGACAATCACTAAATTACAGGCTCCTGACTTCGGACAGGCACATATAAAATGCGACGGGGTTTAACATGTTTGCACCCCGGGCGCCCAACCCTCCCCTAACCTTGGACAGTGGTGTAACATCACAACATAAGAACAAACTATAAAAATCAGTTGAAAATGGCTTAACTCATGAGATTGATGTTATGATGGGTCTGGTTGAGAAATAATGCATTTCCTTGGATAAATGTAAATTGCCTTTTATTTAAAAATTAAGGCATACTCATCGTTTGTTTTCACCTTTGAATTGTTTCACAAATTGTGATGCCGAAGCCTTTACTATACGGTATGGGTTTTGCACATTATTTAAGGCCATAAACGGTGACCAGCATTTAAATACTCGAACTTTGGCCTTGGTGTATAGTTGTCTCATTGGCAGTCATGCAACATCTTCATATATTTTTTACGTACTAGTATTTTATCTACTGAATTTAAACGTTTCCCATACACTAATTAGGAGAAAAGGTTCTTCTTTTTTAGATTAATTTTACAATTAATAAAAGTAGAAATGAGATATCCAGCATTATAGAGATTTCCGAAGAAGAAACATAACTAATACATAATTATACTTTCCGTAAGTATTGAACTTGTATGTAAAGGACTATAGTACATAGTTCAAATTTCCTTGTTTACCAGAAGAAGAAAAAAAACAATAATATTTTGTATTAAATTGAAAAAACAACATTACAATGCATTATATCTATGTGAGATAGGTCAGGTACTGAAGTATCAGTTGTTTTGCTATTCTAGACCTTTTCTTAGTCATATCCTCGTTTACAAGAAAAAATCCATAAACAATTTTTATTAAACTGAAAAAAAACTTTACAATCGCATTACCAGGTCACATGTGCTTAAGTATCAGTTATTTCGCTCTTCTATCCGTTTCTTAGTCGCGGTGCCGTTTCAACTTATTTCACATACAGTATTAGCGCCAAGGTTAAATCCGATTGTTGTGTTGGTGCAATTTTGTACAACTTTTATTACACCAAAATGTTTACATACATTATCATACGAAAGGATATATATATATATATATATATTAGCTGTTAACAAAACTTTGAATTGTTCGAAATTCTAAGGATTTTCTACCCCAGGTATAGATTAATACTTTAGCTTTTTAATCAACAATGCCCTTCAACTTTGTACTTTATTAGCCTTTTAACTTTTTTGCTTGAGTCTTTTGTAGACGAAACGCGCGTCTGGCGTACAAAATTATAAGCCTGGTATATTTGATGAGGCTCTTTTTTCTATATTTCGATGGTGAAGGTAAAAGATAATTCTATTATTTTGAGAATCTCATGTAACGAAAGTTAAGTTCTTAAGATTAACACAATGTCAGTGTTGGGTAAAATACATCTTTTAGCTTTATGAGGTTCGGAACAAATCGTAAACTGACAAAAAATGAAAACATTGCCAACATAGAAAATGTCTGCACATGTAAGACTTTATTTCTGTTTACACCAAAAAAACAGTTCAAGTTTCAGTTTCCTTTATAGATTTTGGTCGCAGATATAAATCTTTGGTTAACATATGATATATGACGGCTGCAGATTTGGTTCTATTATACACTTTCTTGGGATGCGATGTTTCTAAATCTCTAGCCATCTTCCCACAGACTGCTGATAAAATCTGGAGAAAATCGTCGAAGTCGGTATCCAATAACTTCTCAAAAACAGTAAACAAACAGTACATAAGCCATCCTCCTCTCTTATCAGACCAACCAAGTTTCCCTGTAAAACGATAAAAAAAAATCAGACTTCTTTTTGCTAGTGCCAGAATATTGTTTATTTCTATTTGATTTAACGAAGATGATACTGTAGAGAACACTGGGACATTTCGGCCTATTTTGCAAAACAAATATAACCGGTGTTTTTTCGGTGATTTTAAACAAAAAATTTTGAAGATTGATTTAGTAGACACACATGGAAACAATAATTTGATGCAGTTTTATGCTTTGCACAGATAAAAAAAAAATATGATTTTTAAGAAGATTTCACCTGCTAGTATATGGACATAACATATAATTATAATATATTGAAATCGTAAATAGTGGGTATAGTGGGTATCTAGGAAATTTGTTACCCAAAAAGTATCGAGTCAAAATACCGTACTATTTGAGAGATAATTTGGAATCGTGTCAGACGATGAATGGGTAAACGTGGGACTTTTTTTTTAGAATAAGCTGATAACAAAATCAGAATTAAAAAAAAATAAACATATCTGTTAACACTCATGTGACATATCTTTCTTCAAAGACTCAAATGTTGCAAGACAACTATATCAGCTGAAAAAAAATATAAATTTCAAAATCTTAAAATCGTTTTGAGGTTTTGTATTGCTTAACGACTTAGACTGTCAAATGCTAAAGTCCAGAAAATAACCGTTCAAAGATCCTCGAACGGACAATGTTCGATATGTTGAGATTAATTTGCTATAAAAAAATTATTCAGAAAATACTTTTTTGAAACAAATTTAAATGGTTTTAAAATTGCTAGGACATCTTACCAGAAGAACTTGAAAACATGACTAGGTAATCCTCGTAGCATGGGATATCACAGAAATCTACAGCGTCAATCTGTGCATTAGTCACCTTTTCGTTCATTTTATCAGGAACTATATCATTATCAGCTAGTTCTTGTAATAAGTCAATTGTATACCCTTTATCAATTTCACTTTCAGGATCGTTGTCAGGATTGAATATACTTCTACAAGCCTTTAAGAATAAACAAAATATACAGTGTCTTAAAATTAAAGTAATTAGATTTTCATTTGTTTCATATAACTGTTTGCTTAAACACATTTTGATAGAAATGTTTTTTACAGAGGAAAAATAATAACTCGAGAATAAAATTCATCATAAAAAAAGTAACAAATACCAGTTATGACTATAGGAAAGCATGAAAGAAGTATCGTTACTTTATAAATATTTGTGATTTTAAAATTGTTCCATACCTGAATGAAAAACATTCTAGGTTTTCCTTGTAGATTTGGACAGTTATCGTCGTTAAACTCCTGAAGAATTCTATCAGTAGGAACAATACCGTCTGCTGTAAAGAGTACATGGTGTCTTGGTTGTGCTGAGGTATCGTTACTTGATTCCATGGGTATTTCTGCCCCATGAGAACTGATGACACATGCCAAGCAATCACAACTCTCTTCCATTTGACGACTGATTGCTAAAACAAAAGAACACCAAAATAATTTGAACGTAAGATAGTTTTAAATTCGTGCAAAATGATGTTTTCAATTCTTTCCTCTGAAACGGCATCATCAGGATCAAATGACGCAGTGGGATGTACGTTTTATAGCAATACGATAATTTTCCCACAAATAAATGACAAATTTATAAATCCCGCTTTATGGAGGTGTGGTATAAATGTATTAGATGACGAATTTCATTTCTTTTTTCAATGTCAAATAGATGAACAATTAAGAAAAGAATGTTTTATTCAAAATCAATATAAACTTGAACCTTATGGATAAATTTAAACAATTTCTTAATCCTGAAACAAAACGGACTGAGGGCAGGGAGCCCTTGAAAATATTTCAATCTGTGTAATTATATATAGAGATCGAGCGATAAAAAAACCCATCATAATTGTAAAATGTATATGTATTGTTTATTTTGATTTTTAGCTATATATGTATGTTTGTAAGCCATTGGCCCATATGGGCGTAAAGCGCTTCTCAATAAAGAATTAAAAAGTGATCGTTGTGTCCGTTCATTTGTTCCGTAATTTCGTCATTGAGCACTTGGTATCAGCAAATTCTTTTAATTCAGCGACTGGATTTGGATAAAACTTTCAAATTTTCTTTTATTTTAATGTTTGAAATCCCCGGTTATTGGTGGGTTCATGATCCTCAGTCATTAGTTTTCTATGTAGTTTTCTTTGCCATGATATTGTATGTTTTTCTTCGACTCTTGCTTTTTATTGTCTCTTTGATGTGTTCGGCCTCTTTTTTTACACAGTCACTATGAAGAATTTACCTATGTTTTGTTTGTTTCCATTTGATGTTTTTCATATCTTCAAAAGTGGTCGGCATATTGTTTTTCGTAATTCATCCTAAATCACTTACTGTATTTCCATAAAACTTTCAAGAAATCGCTGTGTCGTCATTTAACTTTCATTGGAAATATTTTTAGGAGTTTATATAGAAAAACATGGACTTTGTTGTAAACAAACGAGGGGAGTCTGGGGCATCAATGTGTAAGCTCTGCTCAGAATTTGTCCAGTGCTTAATTGATTACATAACAAGAATCAGATATATTGATGATGCCCTGTCCTCAATAAACACTTTCCAGTGAGTGCCGAAGCATCTCATATATCCCAGTGAACTTGAGATTTGAGGATACTACCGAAACTAGAAGATGTCTGCTTCATATCTTGATCTTTTCCCAGATATTGACGACTTTAAACTAAAATCTAATATGACAAACGTGTTAATTTCAACTTTCCAATTGTCAACTTCCCATTTCTGACCAGTAACATACCCTCTTCTCAAAGGCACTTGTCTCTAAACAAAAATTACCTATATACTTTACTGATCTTTCTATAACATTAAAATATTTATATATAATAAGGGTTTTTTTTTCAGAGACAAGTGCCTGAGCCTCTACTCCATTGTATGGCGTCTACATATCTCAATTGATACGTATTGCTCGTGTATGTTTAAATTATACGGACTTCATAAGCAGGTGTATTACACAAAAACTGCTCCAACAGAGTTATTAGGAAGAACGACTGAAATCGACACTACTAAAGTTTTATAGTCACAATCACGAATTGGTTGACCGAAACGAAATGTCGGTTTCTCAACTTATTAATGACATACGATACAGTAACAGGGGATGTAATGACGTCGCTAACGTTAGATGTTATTTTTCGCGACGTCATTTATGTGACATATTGAGAACAAAATATTTTTCCACTGATTATAATCATTATAGTTTGAATAAAATTGAGAATGGAAATGGGGAATATGTCAAAGAGACAACAACCCGACCAAAGAGCAGACAACAGCCGAAGGCCACCAATGGGTCTTCAATGCAGCGAGAAAACGAGTTCATGACTTAATTATTAAGGAAGATTATCTGTACCAATTTTTATGAACAAATCACCGATGAATCCGCATGGCGGTTGATGCACGCGCTCCTTTTTGACTGGTTTATGCACGCGCTCCTTTTTGACTGGTTGATGCACGCGCTCCTTTTTGACTGGTTGATGCACGCGCTCCTTTTTGACTGGTTTATGCACGCGCTCCTTTTTGACTGGTTTATGCGATTCCCTCGGTTTTTGTTTGGTACCTTGATTTTTACTTTTAATCGATTTATGAGATTTGAATTATTGACTGTTGTCCTTTTTTTAAATTCCCAATTAAAGGTAAACTTACTTTGTAATTCTTTTCTGAGATCACTGCTTTTTTTATTTACTAATACTTTTACATCAAAGTCCATCAATTCAAACATTGTTTTCATCTTTGTATAATCTTCACTAGCAAATGGACGCTTTGAATACTCAGAAAATGAGGAATTGATGATCAAGATGGCAACTCTTTTATTTGAATGATTAAAGTCATAGATGTCGTTGAACAAGTAATTTTTTACACTTGGCTCTTTGTTGCTTTTTACTTTATCTGTTTGGGATGGAATCTGTCCAGTGGTCTGCTTAAACCTATATTGGTTGTACATTTAATGAAATATCAAATTTGAATAAACGCGATACGGGGTATATACGCAAATCAAAACGATAGAAGAAACCAACAGACATCTTGATGTCAATATACGTTCCTCAACAGTACACAATATGTCTACAATATGTAAAACTCCAAATCGCCACGAGACTAAAATGGTTGTGAATTATATGAATAGAGACTACCCAAGATCTGCCTTCAATACAAAATTCCATAAATTACCAAAAAGAAACGGAGATAAAGCAAAATACAAGCACTAATGAAGATTGACGATACAAACACATGAATATGTGGCGGTTTTAAATTCGTTTTGCAATTCAGTATTTATCGTTGGTTGCTGTCTCTGATACTTGTTTTTCGTTTAATGTTTTATCTTACATCAGGCTGTTGGTTTTCTCGTTTGTGTTGTTTTCCCTAGTTGTTATGTCGTGACTTCCTTAGGCAAAGTTGGCCTTAGATGGATTTGGCTATTTTTGGCTATTTTTATGTCCTTTTTGGTTTATAGTTCTTCAATGTTTTCTATCCTTATACTTCCTTGGCTTTCAAGTATTCGGCTTTAAACTAAACTGGTCCTCGACTGACTACTACACTTTGTTCATATGAATAAAGTGTAGTAGTCAGTCGAGGACCAGCTTAGCTTTGAACGTTCCTGATGAAGGCAAATACAGAAAAGCGATTCGGACACATGAACTTTATAACGTGTTGTTTTCATTTTTTTTTTCTATATCTTACTTTACGGTAGAGGTTTTGCTCATTGTTGCAGACCGTACGGTGACTTCTAGTTTCTTCCATCTCTGCTGAATAGTTGTCTCATTGGCAATCATCCCACATATTCTTATTTTTATATACAGGTACAAAATTGTCAAATTGAATTTTAAAAAAAGTTTTACAGCGCTGTTAATTTGACCATTTTCTGTTAGGTTTAAAATTACGGTAAACTATTGTAAATATGTATATATCATTTTATCAGTCCCCTTATCCTCTTCTTCACGCTGTCAGGGGTAGATTCTGGAAAAACAATAAACAGTGCAAACATATAAGTCTCACAAAAGTCTTGTGGTTGCATTGCATGCTTAAAAATTGAAAATTGAAAGTATTTTTGTTTTTTGAAAACAATAATTTGAAAACAGACATTACTAAATAGTACAATCTTTACAAACAACAAGTGTTTTGACATTTTAAAGTTTTTCGTTGACGAACAATATTTAAACACTCGACCACCGCGTTAAATTTAATGAAAATTCAAAATTCTCAACTACGGATTCAGATATATATTTAAAATCGTAAAAGTGTCATTCTAAAAAAAATGTACAAATGCAGTCCTTGAGTACCTAAAGACAGATTTTTAATAAAGTCAAATGAAAATTGGATTAGTTTTGTTAATTATATCCCGAACTTATAATTGCCACTAGTAACAAATAAACAAAAGTTCAGAGACTGATAAAAAAAGTAGCACCAAACAGGTACTGGCATCATTGATGGTTTGTCTCTCACCTAAAATCCAATGAATCATGTATTTTTTCTTTCAAAAACGGTAATCCTCATTTAAGTTTTCTCTAACGTTCTGTATACATTTAGATGCAATCAATTGGGTAACAATTTAATTTCTAAATAATCTCTTTTTTAGATACAGTTTTGATCCTACGGTGAATTTTTAAAGACAGTTTGCATACAAGCTATTTTTTACCTAGGCAATTCAAAAATGTAATAAAAAATATACCTTCATGTGCTACTTTTAGCGATAAATGGGGTCGAAATTTTAGACATTTACTGGACATTTCGGTTTATCGGACATTTCTGTCCTTTTAAAAGTCATACCCAACTTTTTTGTTGCAAGAGATAAACGCAAGCGGATTTTTATAAAAACATATGGAACATCTTCTCTACATTTTTGAATTTGTGTAACAATTCTTTGGAAATAACTCGTTTTATCAAAATTTCATGATTTTTGTAAAAAAAAAAAAACGGCATTTATTGCTGTATATTTATCTAATTCAAAAAAAAAAATTCATGGGTGAAATGTTCATAAAAATTGGCACATATAATCCTTGGCTTCATACATAATCAAGCCAAGTGTCATATTTAAAAGAGGTCCATGATATCGTTTTCAAGTTAAATCAGTCTGAATGATAAAAATCAGTCGAAAAACGCATCCTTTCTCGATGTGTAACAGTTTGACGTCGCGAAAAATAACAGTTTACGTTAGCAACGTCATTATCTCCCGTATAACTGTATCGTTTGCCCTTAGATATATAGAGAATATCATATGGCTTTTTCAATATCACATCCGTATCAACCCGAGACACCAATATAATCCCAAGAGCTCTGCTCGAGGGATTATATTGGTTGAGGGTTGATACGGTGTGTGATATTGAAAAAGCCATATCATATACGCTTTATTATATACATGTACCTCACATGGATGTTTTTTATGTGACATGACGTCATACATATAAGGGGATTTGAAATGGCGTCATACAGTTAGAGGTTTGACCTGACGTCATACAGGTTAGGGGTTTGATAAAGCCTTTTATCACATATTTGATACGAATACGTTGGGTTTTGCATATGCAATAACCTCAAAATTGCCCGGGGCAAAAAAGAGGTTATTGGTTATTGTGCCCTGATTCCAAATGACGTGACGTCATTGCGTCCTTAACGACGGCGAACAATGACAGACTTTGTAGAGCAAATGAAAAACGCTAACACAAGAAAAAAAAACTGAAAGTGACATTAAAATTCTAAAGGAGTGGTTAAAAAGTGCCGGAGAATTACGCAATTGTGTATTGCCATATTCCAAAATAAGTGGAAATGTGACAATAAATTTCTATGGAGTAAATGATAAAAACTAAATTTGAAAATGTGATAAAACTTTTGTGATAAAATTTTTAAAAGATTTTACCTGTTATATTTCATTAAATTGTTATAATTGAACTTTTTTCCCTTTTCTGCAGAACTTAAATATGTGATAAATAGATTATAACATGTCTTTTCCATATTGGCCCTGGTATCATCCCTCGACCCATATCGGCCCTCGGCTAAAGCCTCGAGGCCGATATGGGAGTCTCGGGATGATACCAGGGCCAATATGGAAAAGGGCATGTTATAATCTATACCCACTGTGATAAAGCCTATGCAACCGTGCTGATATCGATATCATCACGGGTGGCTGATACAGCACGCTTGCCAATGACTGTATTACACATATAATTTATCTGTATTTACTACTAAGTATATAATAAATACAATACATGTACATTGTCGGAAAATATAAAATTTATTTGTATGAGCTTTAGAAACAGGTTTCGCAGCGAGTACAAATACATTTTATAGTTTCCGACAATGTACATAATATTATATTGTTTTTATCCTGAAATTTCCACCCAACACTTGAAACTTTATTTGTTAAAATCTAAATCATTGTCTCTAATTTTTCAAAGAAATCGACATAGTTTAAACACGGACCGCGAAGAGGACCCCAAAATGAACTGGTACGCAAAAAGAAATATCCACATTACCGCTTGCTCAACATTTAAGAGGGGTAACAGGAGACTTTATTTGTACAAGTACAAATAAAGCAAAAATTTATTTGTGTATTTGTTATTTGTACAATAGTTGGATGATTGCAGGATAAAAAAGTTATGTTGTCCTTGGTGTAACACAAATGCAATCAATCGAGTAAAAATTTAATTTCTTAAAATATTGTCATAAAATAATCTCTCCCATATCCCTTCATTTAGCGCAGGTATGATGTAGACGAAATTGTTATGAGAAAGTATTCCTAAAGAAATTGTCCATATAAAATAAGGCAAACTCCAAGTGTAATAACATTAGTAATGGTTCTTGGAATAATTGAGATTTGAATGCAACAGAAATATTTCAAAAATCAGAAGCCAAGTTCGTTTTTATTTAATTGAAAGCAGAACCATGTCTCGTCTGAAAGGCAACAGTGGGCGTAATTCCATAAAACGGATTATAAACTTTTGGACGATTTTATGCTAAAAATTATATGAATCGTGAAAAACATAATATGATATTTTTTGCGATCAGAGAGCGTAGCGCTACGCCCCCTGGAATTAACCACGGCTGCTTTTCTATCAATCCGTAAAATATGGTTATACAATGTATTAATATCAGTATTATGATATTCTAAATAAAATGATATATATTTTATATTTTGCTCTGACACAATTTATTATGGAAAATAATGTTACACCGTAACAGGGAGTTTTTTTTCTAGAATGAGAGCGTAGATGACCCGAGTTTACTCATTTTCCCCTTGGTGTGTTTCTTGTATCTCTTGTAACTGGTTGAATCACCTTCCTAGTAATAAGAAAATATTTTTACCGATATCTGAAAATTAAATGTACACATTTTCAAAAATTGACCCGATTATGTAACATTTAAACAAAAAACTATCCGTGAAGACGACAATTTAAACGAGAAAAAAGATCTTACCATTGATTTGATTTTCAGATTCCGTGGTCTCCATTTCTCGTATACTCTTCAGTTCTATGCCAGTAATTGTTGTGTGACCGTGTCTTTTTAGTCATTATTTAAGTCATGCGATTAAAAAAAGTTCCAGTTCTCAGAATAAGCATGATATGTTGATGTAAAGTTAATCAAAAGAATCAATGATACGTGATATATACGAAAAGAAATAGGTGTACTCGTGACAGGCTTAAATGCAGATGGTTATATCATGTTATAATATTACCAAAAGGTATATATATATATATATATATATACTCGACGCTGAGGTTGATAAATTATACTTTTTAAAAATGTGGGTATTGTGTCAACACATTTGATTATCGTAACTGTTTAAATACTTTATATAGTAGACAATTTGCAAATTTTTCTCGGTAAAGGTATGGGATAACTGAATCGTTGTCGTTCTTTAATTTCGTATTTGATTTGGCCTTCAAACTGTTTTGATTATAACGCCACTGATTATGTAGATGAAATGCCCTTCTAAGCCTGGTACCTTTGGTGAGTTTTTCACCTCAAAATTGACTATCCTGTACCATTTATTACCTTTTGTTTGCATGAAACGTCCGAACACATCAGGTTGGAAAAATCAATGTAAGATAACAAAAATTGTTCAAAGTCAGATTGCCTTCCCTCTTACTATGGGTTTAAGTTATTTTTTTTTAAATCCTAAATCGATCTTTTGATGTTGTCCCTTATACGATAGATACACGTTCTATTTTTGTCTCGCCTGCGACGAAATTCGCAGTATGCGAGACATAGGTATTACTATACGGCGGCGGCGTAAACTATTTGTTTAAAGCTTTATATTTTAGAAGGTAAAAGACCTGGCTGCTTCATATCTTGTATGCAGATACCTTATGTTACGAAGTTTCCGTCTGTCATATGTCCAATGTCCTTGACCTCATTTTCATGGTCCAGCGACTGCTTGAATAAAACATTTGAGTTTTTTTGTCATCTGAATTTCTCACTTTTTATTATATGGGTTCCTTGCAACGTCTACATGTCCGTCAGACAGGGTTCACCTGACCTTGACCTCATTTCATGTATCAGTGATCAAGGTTAAAGTTACGTGATAAGGTCCGTTTCTCAAATACTATATGCAGTAGGTCAACAATATGTGGTGTATGGAATGATCACATGTAATGGGTACATGTCAGTCTGGCAGGTTTCATCTGACCTTGACCACATTTTCATGGTTCATTGGTCAATGTTAAGTTTTTTGTGTTTTGGTCTGTTTTTCTAGTACTTTAAGCAATAGGTCAACTATATTTGGTGTATGGAATGGTTTTAAGGTGTATATGTCTGTCTGGCAGGTATCATCTGACCTTGACCCCATTTTCATGGTTCATTGGTCAATGTGAAGTTTTTTTGTTTTGGTCGGTTTTCAATTATCATAAGCAATAGGTTAATTATATTTTGTGTATAAAAAAATTGTAAGGTGTATATGTCTGTCTGACAGCATTTATCTGACCTGAGTTTCTGTGATGTGTTTAGTTAAACCTTTATCTTTAAGACTTTCAACATAAAATCAATGGTCAGTAAAGCAGGCGAGACATTTCAGCGTGTGCACTCTTGTTAATGTATTTTTCAGGTTTTTTTTAAAAACTTATTTCAACTTGAAAATTCTGCATGAAAATAAATAAACAGTCCAACAGTTTACATGCAAAAAAAACCCAAAAGAAAATTATGTTTTAAATATGAATTTTGAAGAAAAGCAACATTTTTCACCACTATCAAAATGTGTATACCTTTTCGACGAAATAGCACTAGAGTATTTGTATAAAGACGAAGGGATGGGTTCAGTTCTTTGTAGCTCCTTTGCTTAAAATTCTTCCAGAGATTTTGTAACATTACACTTTTAAAACTTACTATTTGCACTGATGGCTTGGAATAAGCACTATAAGGTCAAACGTGAAATTTGCAGTCCAATCTCCTTATTATTATATTCAAATTCGACTTGGACTAAGAACTGTTTCTTTTTACAAAAATAGCTATGTTAGTGTGACCTGTACATAGATTGAATTTGACGTTAGTAGCTTTACGTGTTTCATGATACAGTCATGCTCTTTCATCGTCTGTCGACCATACCATACAATGATAGAAAATGTATTCCTACTCAGTCTACTCATTATTAAAGTCACATGAAACTTCAAACTTAAAAAAAAAAGTTGAATATGTTTTATATACTAGTACTTGAATGGCTAAGTTTTACTAAAAAACAAGTGTACGTGAACTTTCTTGTAAAAGAAAATGAAAGAATGCCGTAAACAAACGTGCACTGGAAGGTAAATAGTAATAACTGATTCTTAAAGAACTAGATAAATACACCAAATCATTTAACAACTGTTAAGAAAAAGGATAATTAACATATGGGAACGCATGTAAAATATTGATTTAAAATAAAATATCATGGCTCTATCAATTCACTTATTTTTCACATGTCCCACGTATTCTGTGTTGATTGGATATCAATGACCATCAATGTCACAATCCATAATACTTCGGCAACAAACTCAAAATTTAATTAGCTTGCGATCAACAATCACTGAATGATATATTATTTTTCGATACGTCACTGAATGTAAAAAAAAACGTGCATATATTCATTTTTGCTGTGCATGTACTGATTTTGTGTCATGGATGGATACCCAATATCATTTGTATTTTAGACATTAATAGAGCTGTGTCGCATTAGCATTCCCCGCCTTTTACGTGTTATCAGAAACTATTTGGCAATGTTTAACTGATGATATCCCGTAAATAAATTAGTTACACCCAATACATATATATTCTATATTCAGATGGAGTTCAACAAGATTTCATAAAAATACCATTTACCGCCGAATTACGTATTCTTCACCTTTTAAATAGGTCCTTGGTCCCTTTTCAGTTCGCTCTACTGTCTTGTTCATGATGTAAACACTAGTTCCCTAGTTACACTTAGTAACGTCAATGATGTCGACGCGCAAGAAGAAACTGTATGCTGCTCTCTTCATTTTGTTAGTTTTAAGTCTCATAGCCTTTCGTGCATCAAGTACTTTGCCTGTTGATGTCTGTAACGTCGAAGCTGGTCCAGTAGTTAAATGGTTAATGAGTAGGTCAGTATAATTTATACATATATCTTCTTACGCGTTGAATCTCTTAGTCGATACCAGAACTCATGTGTTGATTTGTTATAATGCATATATATTCTGAATTCAAATAATATACAATTACTTGCTTATAACAGTGTTTATATTGGTACAGTAGTTATGCCTAATATAATCTCTCTTTCGAAGTGTTTAAATTTAGAGAACATAATTATTATTTATAGAATTGCTACTCTTTAAAGTTGATTATTGGAAACCATGTGGCACATTTGGAGCATATGCGTTGACATTCCCATTTGTCATGTGCATGCTAAAGGACACGTGCAATAACTTTTCGAATTTTCATAGATGTCCTGCTTCGTGTTGACAATTTCTTTTCACTACCTTATATTCTTGAACAAAAAATGCTTTATTATATCATACACTCACCGACCAATTATTAGAACACTGATTAATACAACGAAGTATCTTTTTACTTTTTAGTTTTGGACCTTTTCGGTGATACCAGCTCTTCAAAATTTCTTTTACTTGTAGGATTTGAAATATTTTAGCCTCGATCATCGCTGAAGAGACATTAATTCTCGAAATCGGCATCTGGTTATGTAGTATTGGTACCGTTTTCTGCGTTAAAACCGCTGCTTGTGGACTGTCAGTCCCCCTTTTATGTCGGTTAAAAGCTCAATAGAGCTTGTGTTTTGTACTTGTTTATCTACTATACCGACTCTAAATAAAGCTTATTTATTTATTGTATTATTACTCTGGTATCACCAAACCAGTATCTAGTTCTTCGGTACCGGCCAATACATACGGATTTCAGTTTATTAAAATTTGATGTAAAACTTAGAAATCATTTGAAATTAAGCAGCTATGTATCTCTCTCGTACAAAGCTCTTATACAATGTCCAGGTTTGGCAATATTGTGTGTCCTTTTTTTTTTAATTTTACCAGTTTTTGGTTTTGGTTATCAAATACTTTGGCCTCGAGCATCACTGAGGAGACTTTGATTGTCTAAATGCGCATTTGGTGCGGTAAAATGAGTACCGTTTAATGTGATTACCGATATTCTATCAAAATGTAAGTAGTAAACTATGGCAAATGCCAAGCAAAGACTTTTAGATTAATCAGAGGATTAACAGTTACCAGAAATTGTATCGAAGCAGTGTCGGGTATATTAAATTGCTCCAGTTGCCTCCATCAGGGATGCTAAGGGTTAAATGTTTGGGAAACCAAAAATGCAAGTTTGCAAATTTTATGTGCAGCAATGTAATCAATCGTTATTTCAGCTACACATTTGTATATTTTAGTGAATTCGTCGAAAGTTTTTGTCATCTCTAGTGAACAGAAGAGTTATAATATTTTCTTACAACCTGTCCCCAGTACAAATCCATCGATCTGTTGACAGAATTGGAAAATGTAAGAATTGCATATTCTTTTTATTGTATTATTTTTTTTGTATGGTTTGTTTACTTTCTTATTTACCTTTTCTTAGTTTGTTATCCGCTTATTCTTTTTAAATTTGCTCTGAGACTATACTTAACCACTCTTTTCTATGTTATATTCTCAGATCTGATTTGTGTCTTTTTTATTTGTGCCCATCATGTTTTTGGTAAACCTTTTGTATTATAGACCACTATAAGACTTAGAACTCTATCTTTTTCATCCTTTCTTCTGCATTCATACAAACGAATACTAGTACTTGAGGTACATTCAATCATGTTCTTAAAAATATTATCATTAGTCTTTTTTTTGCGTTTGTTTGTGTTTCATTAAATAAAAAAATCTTTATTTTTTCAAGTTTTCAGGGTTGCCAATGAAAAGTGAGAGCTGTGGTAATGTCTTTTAGGAGATATACACCATTTGTCACATACTTCCTTTGTTTTGTTCTAATTTAAATAAAGAATACTTTGTTTAATATTCTGTTAGTTTATTACTTCTAATTGCCTCTCTATCAACATCACAGCTACTATAATAAAAAAAGAAACAACGTAGGTAGTGCAAGGAATAATTTTTGATTTTTTACATTTTTTAAACACTTAAGTGTCTACTTCAGTCGATTCAATTAGTTTATGTAAAAGATTTGAACTGATTTGGTCATTAAAGGCGCTCAAATTAAAGCTTAAGTATGAAAAATCTATCAAATATGCCATAAAACGTCACTTTTCAGATGGTTTTTGTCTAAAATGTAAGTGGCCGCATTTGTGTTTAGTCTCAACCTTTATATATGTTATGTATTATCATCAAATACAACATATATTTAAATATTAAGACAGAAACACAAATGCGGCCACTTCCGTTTTAGACAAAAACTGTCTTAAAATTAGCACAAATGATAAAATTGTGAAGATTTCAGCAATTTTGCATGAATTTATGATGCTAGTACCTGATGCATGTGCATTGTATTGTCAAAAATAGGCCATATTTATGAAACAAAAGTATTCTACTTTCCAATAAATAGCTAAAAGTTTACATTTCAACAACTTTATAAAATGCTATATTTTGGGGCCTAACAGGGGTGTTACCGGGCCTACTCCTTTGATCACGACTGAATTGTATGTTGAAATATCAAGGTTTTGCTGCAGGTATCACATAAACTTAAAATGATCAATGGTCCATGAACATGAGTTCAATGTCAGACGGATTTGTACACCTTACAATAACTCAATTAATCAAATATATTTGACCTTTTGCTTAGAATGTCCGAGAATCTATTGCTTCTATCCACACCTTTTGGTCTCTGGTGGATAGGCAATCATGTCACATCTCCTTATCGTTGATCAACGATCCATGAAAATGAGGTCAAGGTCAGAAGAACCGTTGCCGTCTCAGAGAGTCACGTTCTAAAAATCATTGCATATATCAAATACAGTTAACTAATTGCTTAGGGTATCTGAGAAACTGTCGTTGGTCATTGTAACTTTGAAATCAGGAACAACAATGTTAGTGCACTTCCTTTGCTTTAGATGTTTTCATGTACGTATGGTGATTTTGTGTCTCGAATTGATACACCATATCCTTTCTTTTCCATTATGTACACATTACAATCATTCCATACCCCAAATACAGTGGACCTATTTCTTACAGTTAAACGGATCTAATCGTGAAAACTGAACTTTACCGATGAACCATGAAATGAGGTCACGGTCAGGCGAACCCCGTCTGATGGACATGTATACATGACAATGATTTGTATAGTTAGACCAGAGACATATGTATATATGTCTCTGGTTAGACTATACAAATCCTTGATTTTATCAGGAACATATATATTGATATATAGATATACTGTTCCCAGATTTTATATACCAGATAAAATTAAAAGTAATCTCATGATATATCCATTGGTTATTAATGATAGAAACTAATGATGTTTAACAACATAATTTGTAATAATAGAATAGGTAAATACACAATGTTTCAATAGTCAAAAGAAACATATGAAAACATCTAATAAGACTATTGAGATCAAAAGTTGTGTAATAAGATTTTTAAGAGTAAGGCAAGGAAGTGACAGTACTTTTTTCAAGGTATTTTTAAGACTGACAATTTCTGTCATGTTTATATGGATTGAGGAAATTGTATATTTTTTTTAAAATGGTCCATGAAATGCGTATAGGATTATGTTCGATGAAGGCCCAATTTGGCCCCGAATATGAAGTCAACTGTTTCAACTAAAAATAAAGTACTCCGCTGGGCGCAGCTTGATACGACCGCAGAGGTCGAACCCTGAACAGTTGGGGCAAGTATGGACACAACATTTAAGCTTAAAACAGCTCTGAATTTGGATTGTGATTGAATATTTGACACAGCATAGGTTTGTGACACAAAATGAATGTGGTCAAAGAACTGAAAAAATTGAAATTGGATATTTACCTATTATGGTCCAATATTCAAAATGTAAGTACATGGTTAGAATCAGCATATCAAAGAACCCCAAGAAATTTTTGATGAAATCAAACAAAAGTTTAATTTAGGACCTTTTGGACCTCAATGTGGACCAATTTGATAACGAAGCCCAAAATCCAAAATCTAAATATATGGTTAGATTCAGCATTTCAAAGAACCCAATAAATTCAATTTTTGTTGAAATCAAACAAAGTTTAATTTTGGACCCTGATTTGGACCAACTTGAAAACTGAGCCCAAAATAAAAAATCTAAATATATGTTTATTAAAAGACAATATAAGCTTAGTTTTTAAAGGAGTTCCCTTCATCAAAAAAAAATAAATGGGGAACATGTCCATGGGACACAGATGATGCCCACGCTTGCATATAACGTTATAAAGGGACATAACTCAAAAATGGTAAAAGTGACACTACCCAAATTTGAACTTGATCTGAGTTTTGTGATAATTAGCATTGTGTATAAGTTTTATAACATTTGGTTGAGGCAAACTAAAGAAAGAGAACTGAAACGAAATTCAGCAATTTTTCAATTTGTAAAGGGGCATAACTTTAGAATGACAAAAATGACGCCACCAAAATTCAAAGTTGATCTTTGTTTTGTGGTAATAAGCATTGTGCATAAGTTTCATAACATTTGGTTGAAGCAAACTTAAGTTAGAGAATGGAAACAAAAAAATCAGCAATTTTTCCAATTGCAAAGGGGCATAACTCTAGAACAGTAAAAGTGACGACACCAAAATTCAAAGTTGATCGGTGTATTGTGGTAATAAGCATTGTTTATAAGATTCATAACATTTGGTTGAGGGAAACTAAAGTTAGAGAACAGAAACCAATTTTGGGACATACAGACGGACGAACAGACAAACATACAGACTAGGGTAAAACTTAATGCGCCCTCCGCTAAGGAGGGGGCATAAAAATATATATAGCATTCAGAAAATTACTTTATACAGAATAAAAAACAAACCTACCACAAAATTCTTCAAACAATTTACCAAAGAAAAGAAAAAAATAAATTTCAAAATATCATGTATCATTAATACAATGTCTTTAAAAAATCTTTAAACTTATCTGTAATTATCTAATGATGAACAGTAAATTTCAAACTATCTCTATACATAATTTCTTCTCTTAAATTAGATATGATGCTGTATCTATTTTTAACTATGACTCAACTTAAAATTTTGATTAATTGTGCAATACATCTCTGAATTTAGATTTTGATTAATGATTTGATATAACATAGTTTTTGACACAGAATGAATGTGGTCTAAGTACTTAAATTATTTAAAATTGGACCATTACCAACATGACCAATTATGGTCCCATATCCAAATTCTAAATATATGGTCGGAATCAGCATATCAAAGAAACCCAAGAATTCAATTTTTGAAGAAATACAACAAAGTTTAATTTTGGACCCTTTAGACGTAAATGTGAACCAATTTGATAACAGGACCAAAAATCCAAAATCTAAATACACACTTAAATTCAGCATATCAAAGAATCCTATATATTCTATTTTTATTGAAATCAAACAAAGTTTGATTTTGGACCCCAATTTCAACCAACTTGAAAACTGCAAAAAATTTAATTATTCGCTTAGATTCAGCATATCACAGAATTCCCAAAACTAGTTTTTGTTAAAATCATACTAAGTTTAATTTTAGACCTTAATGTGGACCAGTTTGAAAAACGGGCGAAAAATCAAAAATTTAAAACACTGTTAGATTGCACATTAAAGAACACCAATAATTAAATTTTTGATGAAATCAAATAAAGTTTAATTTTGGACCCCAATTTGGACCAACTTTAAAAACCAAGCCCAAAATCAAATAAAATGCTCCGCAGGGCGCAGCTTGATACGACCGCAGAGTTCGAACCCTGAACAGTTGGGGCAAGTATGGACACAACATTCAAGCTTGATACAGCTCTGAATTTGGATTGTGATTAAATATTTGACACAGCATAGGTTTCTGACACAGAATGAATGTGGTCTAAGAACTCAAAAATTTTAAATTGGACATTCACCTATTATGGTCCAATATCCAAATCTAAATACATGGTTAGATTCAGCATATCAAAGAACCCCAAGAATTCATTTTTTTATGAAATCAAACAAAGTTTCATTTTAGACCCTTTTGACCTCAATGTGGACAAAGTTGATAACGGGGCCCAAAAATCAAAAATCTAAATACATGGTTAGATTCAGCATATCAAAGAACCCCATATATTCAATTTTTGTTGAAATCAAACAAAGTTTAATTTTGGACCCCGATTTGGACCAACTTGAAAACTGGGCCCATAATCAAAAATCTAAATACATGTTTAGATTCAGCATATCAAAGAACCCTAAAAATTCAATTTTTGTTAAAATCAAACTAAGTTTAATTTTGGACCCTTTGGACCTTAATGTAGACCAATTTGAAAACGGAACCAAAAATTAAGCATCTAAATACACGGTTAGATTCGACATATCAAAGAACACCAATAATTAAATTTTTGATGAAATCAAATAAAGTTTAATTTTGGACCCCAATTTGGACCAACTTTAAAAACCAAGCCCAAAATCAAATAAAATGCTCCGCAGGGCGCAGCTTGATACGACCGCAGAGTTCGAACCCTGAACAGTTGGGGCAAGTATGGACACAACATTCAAGCTTGATACAGCTCTGAATTTGGATTGTGATTAAATATTTGACACAGCATAGGTTTCTCACACACAATGAATGTGGTCTAAGAACTCAAAAATTTTAAATTGGACATTCACCTATTATGGTCCAATATCCAAATCTAAATACATGGTTAGATTCAGCATATCAAAGAACCCCAAGAATTCATTTTTTTATGAAATCAAACAAAGTTTCATTTTAGACCCTTTTGACCTCAATGTGGACAAAGTTGATAACGGGGCCCAAAAATCAAAAATCTAAATACATGGTTAGATTCAGCATATCAAAG